CAGCGGATGGCTTGAATGAGCAAAACAAAGACAGATGTTCCGGTATGTAACGCACATTTTCAAAGCAGAATATCTGACTTTAGCATTGTTATTCAGATAAACAAGAATACTCACCATGTTTCTTAAATATCTGCAAACATATTATGGAATTGTTATGCTTTAGAAGAGTCCAAAACTTACATACAGCACTTTTAAATGTATATTCTTATTTAGCAAGGACTAAATTGCAGTCAATACATTTAAACAACAACTTACCACTTATCCTTTGTGTTTCTTTCATTTACTGATAGCTGGATATGATACGCACTTCCATTATGTTTGCTCACATGACAAAGCCTTGATACAAGGGAAGGCGATTGTCTCAACTTCCTCACTGGTTCATCTTACCCCATGTCCATAGCATGTTTTACTGTCTAATGTGTCACCACAAGTGGAGCAACATAGTCTGACAGCCTCCTGTCCAGGATTTGTTTTCTGTAAGAAGAAAAAGTGTTTTTGTAGTAGCAGTCTTTATGAAGGTATATATGGTACATAAATTACAAAAATAAATTGTCAAACTGTCATAATTGTCTATATGGTCACTCAGGAAATATTGCAACTGTAACAACATGGTTTGAGGTAATACCAACATGAAATCTTCAGTTTGATGTTCACTATTATGTAGACATTCATGTTAGCTAGTTTCTCTGTACGTGCATTATTTATAATCTGGAAGATTAATAATAATTTATGGATGCAATAAATTATTTGGAAAATATTACATTCTTTTTATTATATTACATTCAATTCTATTATATATTATCTAATTGTTACGGCCCTAGTGATCCTGTCTAATGTTATCCAGTATCCACCAGATGAAGGTGTTCAGTGATCAGGGGCTTCATGTATCAACGCTGCGTACGCACAAAAACTTTGCGTACGCCAGGTTTCACGCTCAGAATCGCTCACGTTTGGATTTACTAACAATGAACTGAACGTGGGAATGTGCGCAGGTTCACGGCAGCTTTCTGGCAGGCGTACGCACATTTTTAGTGCGTGTCTGTTTTATTTCCATTGGCGACTCCTAGAGGCAGTTGTGTTAAATTCTTCTCTACAAAGTGTCTGATCCTTGCAATGGCAGCTGTATGAGACGGGTTCATATAGTAGGTATGTAAGATTTCCATACCATACAGTTGACCAGCTAAACATTAAAGCGCAAATTGCAGCAGTCGCAATGTAATCTGAGCAATCTACCGCACACACATTGCTATAAAGACACTATCTGAAGATGAATTTGCATGCGTGAATCAGAAACATTTCCATTCAATAAATGTGCAAATAAAATATGATTCACAAACTTATTGATGATTCCTACTTGTCTTTCTTTTGATAAATAGTGGGCAAAATCTGATATGTAGCGGGGGAAAAAAGAATAAAGAATTTATCAGACGCTGGATTCGAGCCGAATTGACGCTCGAATATGTCTGTACATGATCTCATGCTTCTTATGAGGTGCGCCACTGAGACTGCTTAAGGTACTGCAACATTTTTCAGTTATAAACTACACTATTTCTTCTTTAAATGCACTCAGTGTGATGTTCAGACCCAACTGTGTTAACCGTATCAGCTAAACTCCCACTCTATTTTTTTCTTTTGTTGTTAATTCCGGAGAACAAACTTGCAAATAACACCGCTTTTCTCCGGTCTACCTCCGAAAGCAGCACCTCCATTTCACATTCTGTTCAAAGTTTCTCTTTTTGCTTGATTTTGCCGTTGCTTTTTCGTTGGGTTTTGCCATTAGCATAGTCATTAGCATATTCATACGGGGGAGGAGGCAGGGAGGGGTTTTGTGCTCGTGCATGTTGCGCTCAGTTTCACGTTCATTCAGATGTACAAAAGAATATGCGTGAGATTCGGCGTACGCAGTGTTTCATACATCTGAATTTTTTTCTGCGTACGCACATTTACAGCTTTGTGCGTACGCAATGTTTTAGTAAGATTTCCACGCAAGTCTTCGTACATGAGGCCCCTGGGGCAACTGCCACAACTGCCTCTAGGAGTCGCCAATGGAAATAAAACAGACACGCACAAAAAATGTGCGTACGCCTGCCAGAAAGCTGCCGTGGACCTGCGCACATTCCCACGTTCAGTTCATTGTTAGTAAATCCAAACGTGAGCGATTCTGAGCGTGAAACCTGGCGTACGCAAAGTTTTTGTGCGTACGCAGCGTTGATACATGAGGCCCCTGGAGTTTTTCTACAGTGTTTTGAACCAGTGCATGGTGTTGCTTGTGATGTGCGTTTGGATGAAGACCCAGAGAACTGGACTGCATTAGGGCATGGGCTGATATAAGATTCTGACGGTATGATAACCTTGGATAAAACGATTACGTTTTCACAGTTTTACGATATTGTGACTACTGCTCTAAAATTTGTTCTTTTAAAATATCTGGGTAAAAAAACTAAAACTTTTCCTATTTGCAAAAGAGGATTTTTCATTTTGGAAAATGATTAAATCATTTATTTTAATTAAAAGATATGGAGATACTGCTTACCAGTGCAACCTGTCTCTTTCCTGCTCTCAGTAATGCAAACGTGTGAATAAATGTGTAAAAATACATGCGTGTTAACTGTCATTTTAATGTGATCATGTGTTTTTTCGTCGTTTTTTTCTTCGTCTGAACACATTTAACTCTGTCATAACTGTAATATTTACACTCCTCCCTAAAATGTATAGCAGATGTGACCGTATGGGCTGCTTTTCGCTGTACTTAGTGACAAAAACGAATATTAAATGTTGTTCTGTGTCCATGATGGAGCTTGCAGGCATTTGATAGACTTGTCCCTCATGCTTCCTTTCTGTCATCTGTTAGGTAAGCAGGCTGTGTGCACGCGCACTATACACTTATTTAAACATGTCTTATGATAATAGTATGTAAGCACATTTATACATAGCTTTTACAACAACCGTAAAGCAAAACAGATGTATTTCCCATGTAAAAACGGTCCAAAAGGCACGTAGGTCTATGTGTTTTTACGTATTTATTTGTTTATAATATATAGCGTGGATTATAATATAATAAACAGAGAGATTACCTCTTTGTCATGGACATTATTTCTAAAAATAAGCTTGAAAATGTGTCTGTAGCGGGGTGGTGCTGGCGTGCGAGCGCCTCGAAGGCACTGTAGTCCGTTTATAGCCTAATGTTAGCTTTTCAGTTCTTGCGTTTTCATTTAAGATCTATAAGTGCTCAAAGTTGTATTTTCGTGTGAGGATTATCCGGCTGGACAAAGCGTGTAAGTGTGAACAGTGTTTGAACACAGAGCTTATTATTTGCAGACTTCAAAAAGCCTATGGGAAAATCCTAAAGGGATTTTATTGAGGGAACCAGTTTTATGCTAGCAGCCGATTAGCCTACAAGGTGACGTCATAGTTCCTCCACTCTATTGAGAAAATAGATGTGTTTATGTGCTTTATGAAGGCTGAAAAACAGCGTTGATACGTTTGGAGCCGTGTCTGAGTCCACTAGACCCATTCAGAGGTACACCCAGCTCTGTGAGCTCATAAACTCCTCCTGAAACTTAACCTGAATGATGGAAGCTTTCAGCTGTGCTTTTGACTGAGCCGAGTCCAGCTTGATAAACTGATGTAGGTGTCAGCAGGAGGATTTTTTCCCCGGACACCAACAACAGGCGCTACATTATAAACACGCTCCTACAAGAGAAAGCACCTGATTGGTTAACTTGGCTCAAATGTCTGCTGAAGTTCAGATTTTCGAACTCGAGAGAATTACACGTAACGCGTGTTAAGCACCTTAATTGCCCAAAAGTGCACAACTCATGCAATTTCATTCACGCAAATTGCGCTCAGAATGTCTATTCGCGCCTTTGCATTGACTTAACATGTAAAACACTCTCGCTTAACGCTTCTTCCGTGTCTGGTGTGAACGCAGCATAAGACTGCCTTTTTCAGAGCCACTTCTTTTGACATCTTCAATTTATCAGAGATGTTAGCCCTGTTTTTAATCTGCCGCTATTCTGAGCCAGGGATGTTTGTAGCTCCGCCCCCCTCTATCGCATTTGAATTTAAAGTGAAAGTCACCAAAATGGCACAATTTGGCTCAAAGCCTAACGCCCTATTCACACGGGGCTTCAGCGTCAACGCTTGACAGAGGGCGTGTCTGAAGTTGGAGCTGAAACGATCGTCATAGAAGCGTCAGCCAATGAAATTCAGTCAGCAATAGGCCACTGTCTGAGCTGGTGTATTTGCATACAGCGATCTGATTGGCTGACGCTTCCGTCGCCGCTTGAAAAGTTAAGCTGGTCCCAACTTCTGCAGCGAGGAACGCTTCTGAAGCGGCGCCGACGGATCCACAATGCAGTTCGGCAACGCCTGACGTCATCCATTCAAAGTGAATGGGAAGCGTTGACGCTGACGCCCCGTGTGAATAGGGCGTAAGAGGGGCAGTTTCAAAGAGTTATAAAACATAATTTGTGTGGTATTTTGTGTTGAAACTTCACATGCTCACTCTAAGAGACTTATTTTACATCTTGTAAAAAGGGGCAATAGGTCTCCTTTAAGTATTTGTTATTACAAAATCCCCCAAAGGCAGGTATTTAAATTAACAGGGAACATGAATACGGCACTGGACTAAGATATAAACATTTGAAACTGTCACAGTACCATGGTATTGGCAAAATACTGCACGTAAAGAAATGGATGCACTGCCAATTTGTCTATAATACACTCACTGTGTGAATATTATGTCATTTAATGTGATATGCTAGTTTTACGTATCGTTAACAGAATATTTCTATACATACAGTGCTAAAGGATATAAAGCTGCTTAAAACATGTAACTGAGATTCGAGGAGCTCAAACACACACACACACACACACGCAACCGCCGCCACAAAACCAAAACACACTTACAGACAGTAATGTCCTTCCGCCGGAATCTGTCGCCTCAGGGAGGAGGGAGTTGTTGCCGGAAGTCGTCACCGAAGTGGGCGGGGCTTATTGTGCCACGTTGATGGACAGCAGTGGGGACGTGGAATTGTGTCCATCTGCAGCCGGGCAAATCTCATACATTACGCACAAACCTCTCGGAGATCATAAAGTTAAACTGTTAATTCACTTTAACGCGCGTGTTTGTGCGTGGATGAATCTGTGCATGACTGCTGGAAACACGACAAGACAAGGTAAACACTTTTAAAAGTGAGAAAATCCTTCAATGATAGCTGCATTAGCCTCTCTGCTACAGTATTATCTGTTTTAAATGGACATTACCTCTAAAGACTGCACATCTCTTTCACCAGAACATGTCTGTTGGGAAAATCATATCTGTTATTATTCATAGCTGTGGTTTATTATGAAGTCCCGGTTAATCTTGGTCATGTTTGATTGTACAGTAACCTACAAGCTGTATTGTGTTATTATGTATCTGAAGAGTTAATTATTTATCCTCAGTTGAATATTGTTTAGATTTGTTTGTTTTTCGTGGCTTACTATTGTTTGACATTATGTTTTATTTTCAATGGAATTGCTTGTTTCGTTGTGTATTCAGGAGATCACAAGGGTCATAGCAGAACAATTGATAACAGTATTTAGGGAAGACACTAAAATTACATATTAAGGTGAAGTTGGCTTTACATTCAGATATTCAGACATTCTCCTCAATAAAATAATATCAGAAAAACATTCTTTGCAAATTTTAAATAGTGAAATCTTATTAGCAGCCAATGATGATCAAAGTACAGCATTGTTTACAGTCTATTAGATGGTGCTAATGTTGTTTTAAAGTCATACTTGCGTTATAATTCTGATTGAATATTCAAATTAGTGTGGTAAAAAATATAGAGTCAGTAAAATGAACGAATTACATTACATTACATTACAATTAAGCTAAAGTTGGTTTATATTCACACATTTGGAAAGTATTCTTTGCAGATATAGGGAAATCACATTAGCAGCTAATGACTATTCAAATATAACACTTACTGTTGTGCACTACTCAGTTAAATAGTGCTAATTAGGGATGCTCCGATCAGGATTTTTTGGAGCCGATACCGAATACCGATTCCTCTTCATGGTGATCAGCCGATAGAGAGTACTAATTCTAATACTTTGAGCTTTATACATTTACACTGCATAAATCACATCTCCCTCTAAGCATTATACTTAATCAGGGGTGATTTTAGGATATTAATTTTATTATTACATATTATTAAATAAATTAGGAAGGACCCATGGCAGCTATATTTACCTTCGGTTCCCTAGCCTCTATCTAGTTTGGTTTTTGGCCCTTCATAACAAAAAGTTTGGGAGACATTGGCTGTAAATGGAGACAAGTGTTAAAATAATCATAGCATATGACATATCCAATGATTAGAATTCTCTTCCTCATTTTAGGATGAAGCTGAAAGAAATTAACCGAACTGCTATCCAGGCCTGGAGTCCGGCTCAGCAGCACCCCATCTATCTGGCAGCAGGTAACCGGAATCAGTCACTGAATTAATTCCTTCAGACGTTGCCAAGCTCTTCCAATTAGACACAGTACAGATGACATGAGAAATTTCACGCTCATTAGCTTTAAGCAGTGAAAGATTGTACAAATATGCCATTTTATAAAACAGAACACCTGATATGGAAGTGGGTAAAGAACATTTAGACATAATCATCTTTAATTCTTTGACATGTTAAGCTTAAACTCTGCATGAAATCAACATTTACTGGTTTTTTTTTTGGTAGTGCAGTCTTAGTTATTTACAGTTATTCTGTAAATAAAGTTCAAGTTCAAGTTGATTCACTGTATTCAATGGTTTGTTTTGGTAGTCTTTAATCCAGTGGTTCTCAAACTGTGGTACGTGTACCACTAGTGGTACGCAGGCTTCCTTCTAGTGGTACGCAGAGTAATCCAATATCAATGTCATATGTACATGCAACATATATTTCAAAATTGATCAAAAATGGTTCATATATGAATATGATGACATATAGCCTATATTTATGAGGTCCAAGCAACATTTCCAGGTTTTTATTTATTTATTTTTTTACATATAAGCACAGTACAGTGTTAATGTTCAAACTATTTATAATGTTTAAAGTGGCTGATAATAATAAAAATTCTTAATAATAGTAGTTAATCTGTCACGATTTTAAACTGCAGAGTTGTAGCTGCCTTACTGGGCCTACTACGCTACTGTATTTCAATACTGGTCATTATGGTGGTACTTGGAGGGACAATTTTTTTCTGAGGTGGTACTTGGTGAAAAAATTTTGAGAACCACTGCTTTAATCAAAATCGAACAATGTTTTTGAACATTTCTCCAACTATAATTTTTTACAAAGGAGCTGTTGTGAGTGTTTTCACTAATGGCATCTCCCTTTGGTATGAGAATAGCAGTGTATCTGACAAGAACACCATTAAGAGGATCATAAAGTCAGCTGAAAGGTGTGTTGGAGTCAGAATGACATCTATCGAGGAACTATCTGTCTTGGGCAAATAGCATTTTAAGGGATCCAACCCACCCTGGCCATAGCCTGCTTACTCTTATGCCATCAGGCAGACGTTACAGAAGCCTGAGGAGCAAATCAGTGCGGTTTCTTGACAGTTTTTATCCTGTCATTATAAGACTTTTGAATAATACCACTTTTTAAACATTGTTGATAGCTAGTGTGAAAATAATAAATTAATAAAGAAATTGGTAATATTAAAACAAATGGTAAAATAGGTATTTAATTATTAAGATATTCTCTTCAGAGATTTTTTAAAATAGGTTATATCTTATATAACTATATTTTTATGGAATTATAAAAGCTTTTGTATCATGCTAGGATTTTAAAGTGATGTTTTTTTATGTTCTTGCTGGGTCTGTTGCAACGTAATTTCGTTCTGCATTGCAATTCCATTGTGATGTTTGGAATGACTTGCGTTGCATTTGAAGATTCGTAAGAATAGAGTGGTTCATTACAATTGCTCACCTACTTGTTCAGTGCTGGTTTTTTATACATTTTTATCATAGGAGTTTTAAAAAAGGTATGTGAAAGTTATTCACCAAACCATCCGGCTAATGATGTAAAAATATATATAAATAAAAATTTAACTGAGAGATAAAGGTATAAGACTGAAAAACAATCCAGTGAAGCACTGTTAAATGACATGCTTACATTTTCAGAAATTCACTATTTATTTAATGCCATTTATATATATATATATATATATATATATATATATATATATATATATATATATATATATATATATATATATATATATGCAATATACCTGATTGTTTGTGTAAAAATATATCATTTTTTAAATAGCCATGAAACCATATAAGTATGGTTATTGCTGGTTTTATCTGTTGGGAAGAGGTAAAATTTGAAATTTTTACTGTTGATCATCAGTTGCAGTGCAAAAAAAAGCTTAGTTACTGGCTTAAAATTATATGGTTATATAGAGTTGTGTGTGTTTGTAAGTACGTGTTTTTCTGACATGTCAGGACACAAATCTGTATAATGACATGGGTATGACACAGGTATTACAAAAAAGAGGTGAAAAAATGAGGACATTGCTGACATCCTCATTTCTTAAAAAGCTTATAAATCACACAGAATGAGTTTTTTTCAGGGAGTAAACCAGTACACAGTCTCCTGTGATGGTTGGGTTTAGGGGTAGGTTGGGGTGAGGGCAAAACAATATATGGTTTGTACAGTATAAAATGAATCAAAACCTATGTAATGTACCCACTTTTCACAAAAACAAACGTGTGTGTGTGTGTGTGTGTGTGTGTGTGTGTGTGTGTGTGTGTGTGTGTGTGTGTGTGTGTGTGTGTGTGTGTGTGTGTGTGTGTGTGTGTGTGTGTGTGTGTGTGTGTGTGTGTGTGTGTGTGTGTGTGTGTGTGTGTGTGTGTGAGATCTTAGCGCAGTTACCTTGATATGTTTGCAGTAATAAGCAGCTCACCTCTCAGAACCGCTCTGAGTAAACAAAGTAAGCTTATTTATGCGCGCATACTCTAATATGTCGTTGCAGGGCAATCTAAAGGGTTAATGCTGCCAACTGATGATCAACAGTAAAAATGAAAGGTTTTACGTCTTCCTGACAGGGAAAACCTGCAACAATAAAGAATGCATGATTATGTGGTATCATGGCTTTGCAATCAACAAATGTCATTATAATTGATGTCAATGGTGCAAAAACAGCCACAGACATAATGAACGGGTTGTAAATTTGAAAAGTACATAAGGATCAAAAAACTGGGTGAGCTTTGAAGTTCATGATAATTTTTCTTTTAAATATTTACTTAAGGTAAAAAGAGATTTTGCTTCCATAACCCGTTTGAATGACAAATACCTGGTTAAAACGCAAAACCTCTGTAATTTAATCTAACGCTTATTATTGGTTCAGGTACCTCGGCACAGCAGCTCGATGCCACCTTCAGCACTAATGCATCACTGGAGATCTTTGAATTGGATCTGGCGGATTCTGCTTTGGCCATGAAGTCATGTGGATCTTTCTCTTCTCCACACAGGTACTGAGTTTGGCTAGCATAATGTGCTAATGGTTTACAGTTTCAGGCAAAGGAACTGTTCTGAACTGTTTTATCAGTTAAAAACGCTAAAAGTAATGTTTTTTTCTAGTTAATCACTGACAAGTGGAAAAGTGCTAAAACCCTCAAAGACCTCTGAAAATTCAGAATTTTATTTTTGAAAAAAAAAAACATCTGTTGAAACTTGCTAGCTGAGTGTTAATTTATGCTGGAAACATGCTAGCAACCTACTTAAAACATACTGTTAACACATTGTGTTTTAATATCCTCTTAGCGACATGCTGAAAGTTTTATAAGTGTGCTATATACAACAGTGTGCTAGCTGTGGGTTTACTTGTGCTACGGTGTGTTAAATTGTTTACACATTGATTTTAGGAGTTGTAATCTCTCACTGAAGTAGCAGAACGCTAAATAAAACAACCTTTAGATCAGGGGTGCTTAACCCTGGCTGCGTCCAAAACCGCATACTTCCATACTACATAGTACGCTAAAATCTGTATGAGAGCCGCGTAGTATGTCCAAATTCATAAAATTCGAAAATCAGTATGCGAGAAATACCCGGATAACTTACTACTTCCGGCGAGATTCTGGAGTGCGCATCCCATGCACGCTGCGCTATCCCATAATGCCCTGCGAGAGAATTCATGAATAGAAGTGAAGCGACGCAACTGACGCAGGTAGGTCACGTGACCATGTCAAAGTGGCGGATGTAGTACATCCGAATTCCATTCATACTTTTCACATTCAAACTTTATAGGATGCACTTTTCTAACGGCCGAGTAGTACGTTTAAATTCAAATGCAGTACCTACTGAGTAGTAGGCGGTTTCGGCCGCCGCCCCTGTTCCTGGAAATCGACCTTCCTAAAGAGTTCAGCTCCAACCCTGATCAAACACACCTGAATCAATTGATTAGGACCCGAACAGCACTTGATAATTACAGGCAGGTGTGTTTGATATGGGTTGCAACTGAAATCTGCAGGAAGGTCGATCTCCAGGAACAGGGTTGGTCCCCGCTGCGTTAGATGTTAATCTGTCTTTTGAAATGGAGAGTTATTCTAAAGTTATACAAAACTGACGTCATTAGATGTTTGATTATATAATAATAAAAAAAAAAACATTACTTAATGTTGTACTTTCTCAAAGTTAGTTAATTTTGAAATCTTGTAGTAACCTTTTTGTCCAATTTCTAGATACCACAAGCTAGTCTGGGGTCCGCATGGCATTGAAAACCAGGGCTTGCCATCCGGCGTTCTCATCGCTGGAGGGGAGAATGGCAATATTATCCTCTATGACGCCTCCAAAATTATTGCTGGCGATAGTGAAGTGATCATTTCACAGAGTGAAAAGCATACGGGAGCAGTAAGAGCTCTTGACGTCAACTCATTTCAGGTAATCACTTCTTGCAAGAACATTTGTAGGTGTAGTTCTGATTAATGTGTAAATGTAAATGACTCTTTCTTTTCTTTAACTTAGTCAAACCTTGTGGCGTCTGGTGGAAATGAGTCCGAAATCTACATTTGGGATTTGAACAACTTCAGCTCCCCAATGACACCAGGACCGAAAACACAAGTAAAAACACATCTAATTCTTTACTCTTAAGACATCCTGTAGTTTTGTTTAATATTCTGCAATTGTATTGTTTATATTAAGAATGCACTGATAGGATTTTATTTGAGCCAGTTTCAGCAAAACTCTTTCGGCTGATAGAGATAATATATTGGTCAGTTGCATACAGTACTAAACCGTGCTTGTTAGGTAGTTTTTCTCCATTAGGTACATTATATTGAACATTAATCGGATGCATTTAACATTGAACTGTCTAAACTTTTAAAAGAGGCCAAGTTAAGATGACAAAAATTACATTATGACAATCTTCTAAGTTCATTTTTGCAACAGCCAGTACTATTGCTATAATAGTGTAAATTCTAAATTTTACTGCTCCAGAAAAGTACTCAGTTTAGCTCAAACCTGCGCTTTAGCATGGTGCTCAGCAGCTGCTTAACTTCCCCATGCACGTATGACATTTTGTACCTATTAGATGCAGGTCTGATATCTTGTACAAGTTACATTTAGTTTTTTGCAACTCATGTTGAACCATTGTCAAAACCTGATTAAAACCAGTTCATTTCAATTGTTCCCAGTGTATCTTAAGACATGCACTATCTGACAAAAGTCTTGTTGTTGATCCCAATTGTAAGAGCAACAGATGATAACTTGACTTCTAGTTGATCGTTTGGAAAAGTGGATTGAGTATGTCTGGGGTAAGATGAAGGAGGAGGTTTTGAAAATGAACCCAAAGAATCTTGATGAACTCTGGGATGTCCTGCAAGAACGCTTTCTTTGCCATTCCAGATGACTTTATTAATGAGTTATTTGAGTCATTGCCGAGATGTATGGATGCAGTCCTTCAAGCTCATGGGATTCGGAAACAATATTCATTCTTTTTTTCACTGCACCATCACTTTATATTCTATACTGTTTATTATTTCTGTTAAGTGATGGGACTTTTATCTAAGTAAAGTCACATCTTACTGTCCTAATTATATAATTAAAAATCAAGGCATGATTGTATTTTATTGTAGTAAATTAAGTGTAATCTAGAGGCCTTTGTCTTTTATAAAAGCCACTTCTGATATCAAATGATCAACTAGAAGTCAAGTTATTATTTGTTGTTCTTAAATCTTGGATAAGCGACAAGTTTTTGTCAATTAGTGTACTATTGCACTAAATTTTGTGGTTTTAAATTGTCACTAATAGAAAACATCAAACTACCAGTGGAGACTCACACATAGGGACTTATGGCTTTTATTAGAATCGATACAACTCTCATTTTAACCAATAAAATCATTTCAAAATATGTAAGAATTTTTTTTAAATAATTTTTTTTCTTTATTTTTATTTTAGCAGTGCTGAACTCTTTTATCAGGTTGAATCCAGTATCTAATATAAATCTTTATCCAGTAAATAAATACAGGGTTTATACGGTCATGGAAAACCTGGAAAAGTCATAGAATTTTGACATGGCATTTTCCAGGCCTGGAAAAGTTTTGGAAAAACTGAAAAAAACACAAGATTTTGGAAAGTGATGGAAATTACACTTACATTTAGTCATTTAGCAGACATTTTTGTCCAAAGCGACTTAAGCTGCGGTGACACTAGAGCTACGGTTGTATGGCGCTGCGAAAAGGGAAAAGGGGCGGGGTTAAACAATGTGATTAGACATTAATAAAAGTGAGCGATTGCTCCAAATTTAAAATTTCTTATTTTAAATGATCTTCTATTGGTATCACGCAATCATCTGATGTGATTTCGCAGGTAAGATTACTCCAAGCTTATACTTTTGAATGCAGTGGAATGGGAAGCTTGTGTTTCTGTTTCTGCCGCATTCGCATGCCTATGAATGGAAATCTATGGAGCGAAAAGTACAGTGTGATCAGGACTTTATAATAGAAGTAGTTTAACCTACTATTGCTAGTTTAACAAACTAATAACATCATCTAAAATTAGTTTGACAAATATCTGCATATTGGAATTGTCGGTTAGTTGTTTTAACTTTTTTTTTTTCCTGGCCAAAACATGCTCTCACATTATTAGTGCTGTGTAAGCATCATCTATTTTACATGCATATAAAAATAAATTGAAACTATCGTGTGTTTTATGACATGCTGTAATAAATTTGACTGTTTATTATGGTGTACCGCATCATGAAAATTGACTTGAAAGTCCTGGAATTTTTGAAGTAAAATGTGTATAAACCCTGTAAATATCCTACAGACTTGCATATAAAAGGGAGCTCCCATATTTCTTGGTTGTGATGTCTGTCATGGGAAAGTAAGCATCCTTGTTTAAATTTGACTTTGCTGTTTGTTTTAGCCTCAAGAGGACATCAGCTGTGTTGCGTGGAACAAACAGGTGCAGCACATCCTGGCCTCAGCCAGTCCTAGCGGAAAGGCTTCAGTCTGGGATCTGAGAAAGAACGATTTAATCATCAAAGTCAGCGATCACAGCAACAGGGTTTGTCTTGTTACTTTTATTTCTCTCACTTTAACTTTAGGTTTTCTAATTGAATTGATTTACTTGCATTAGGAATATGTAATAACTAGATGTACTTCACTATAGGCAATGAATATAGGTAGTTTCCTTCCTTGTTTGTGTCAGTATTACCGTCATGTTTGTGTTCATGACGTGATTTTTAGATGCACTGCTCTGGTCTGGCCTGGAATCCAGAGGTGGCCACTCAGCTGGTTTTGGCTTCTGAAGATGACCGAATGCCAGTGATTCAAATGTGGGATCTGCGCTTCGCCACGTCCCCTCTCAAAGTGCTGGAGAACCACACAAGGTAGAAAAAAAAAACATTTAATCAGTTTACCAGCAGATACTGTTACGCCCCATTCACACGGGGCTTCAGCTTCAATGCTTGACTGAAGTTGGGGCTGAAGCAATCGTCATAGAAGCGTCAGCCAATTAAATTCAGTCAGCAATAGGCCACTGTCTAGCTGGTGTATTTGCATACGGCGATCTGATTGGCTGACGCTTCCGTCGGCGCTTGAAAAGTTGAGCTAGTCCCAACTTCTGCAGCAAGCAACGCCTCTAAAGCAGCGTCGACAGATCCACAATGCAGTTAAGCAACGCCTGACGTCACCCATTCAAAGTGAATGGAAAGTGTTGTCGCTGTCACCCCGTGTGAATGAGGCGTAAGGGAGCATTCAATACCAGAAACGGCACTCAGGAATGTTTTTTAAAAAGCCTTCACCGAAATTTGGTCAGCGTCAAGCTGTCTGTGACCGTCTTTCAGGCTAGTGTGTTTGGTGTGTTCCACACATTGCCTCTTGTTGGGTTAATGTTGGATTGAATTGGACCAATTCATCATGTAGAATCAGTCTTGTATGAAGACAGCACTCTGATTGGCTGTTCAGCAACAAATCAGAGTGTAAGGTAAAGAAGGTAAATCGCATTATAATGGACTACCACAAGACCAAGAGCTATCCAAGAGCTGTGCCACGTTTAAAGTCATTTAAATCCCCCTTCTTTGCTATTCTGATGCTCAGTCTGAATTCCAGCAGATCATCTTGATCACATCAAAATTGCTCAAACAATTGCACTTCTTGTCATGTGATTAGCTGATTAAATATTGGCATTTACCAGCAGTTAAATGGGTGTAGCTAATAAAAAGTCTTGTGACTATAGTCAAGAAAAATTCTACACAAAGTCACACAGTGGCATTTGCTTTAATATATTGAATTTAGGACTCATTTTAATTGCATTATTTCTTTATATGTGTGCTTCAGGGGTATCTTGGCCATAGCGTGGAGTGTAGCGGATCCAGAACTCCTTCTGAGCTGTGGGAAAGACAACCGGATCCTCTGCTGGAACCCAAACACGGCTGAAGTGAGTATTTATTTTTCTTAAAAAAATACTGTCAAATACTTTGATCCCCGTAACATATTAAATGTCTGTTCATTCCTGGTACCAGGTCCTGTATGAGCTGCCCACGAGTACTCAGTGGTGTTTCGACATCCAGTGGTGCCCTAGAAACCCAGCTGTTCTGTCTGCTGCTGCTTTTGATGGCCACATCAGTATCTACTCCATTATGGGAGGAAGCAATGACAACGCCAATAATTTGCAGGCTGATCAGGTACAAGTAAATTCAGAACCTGTCCACACGAGCATGGGTATTCTCAAAATCTCTTCTACACGGTTTGACCATACGTCCTCATGAAAATGCAATATCATGTGACTGAAACCGAAACTCTCTGAAGACTCCGGCCAGGGTGAAGATTTTGAGAAACTCTGGTTACGGTGTGGTCGAGTGGCCACTAATCCACTTTGACTCATGATATTATTGTGTGTGCTGTTTTCTCCTTTTTGATTGGACTAACATGGCTTTGTTCATGCTGGTTTCACACCAAATATGGTGGACTTGATTGAGGCGAGTTCCGCAAATGCATTCTTCATCGTTTGGCTGTTTGCATTGACTTTGTATGTAACTTACTCGCATGAGTACTCTGTGGTCAGTGTGAACTGTGCATAAAAGGCTCTTATTACCACCTGTTAGTTTGGCCCTTATATCTTTGTACGTGTGGATGGGCTCAGTATACAAGATAACGCTCTTAAGCTAGCATGAACATCTTCTCACAGTCGATCCTGATGTGTTTTGGATCAATAGTTAAGTAGCTCATTTGGAAATATGGATCCATTTGGGACGGGGAAGACATTGCCACCGTTACAACTGCCCCAGCAAACGTCCCCCCAGAGCACCATCACACCTCTGAAGAAACCTCCAAAATGGATCCGTAGACCAGTTGGAGCATCTTTTGCTGTAAGTGGCTCTAAATCTAGCATTGCACATTGAATATGCACTAATAAATGTGCTTGTTCTAAATCTGCTTTGTTTTTGTGAACAGTTTGGTGGGAAACTTGTTACTTTGGACAACATTAAGCCAACTGCTCAACAGCCCCAGCAGACTGCTGCTCATGTTGTTCACATCAGTCAGGTTGTGACGGAAACAGATTTCATTCATCGATCAAACCAACTCCAGACGACCCTAAATGCTGGAAATTTTCTTGAGTACTGCCAAAACAAGATTGAAACTGTTCAGAATGAATTTGAGAGGACTGTTTGGTCATTTCTGAAGGTAAGACACTCGATTAAGAATGCTTAATTGTGTGCACAGGAACAGGTTAGGTAACTTTTCTATCAGAGTTGTAACCAATAGATTCATCTTTTTAGGTAAACTTTGAAGAAGATGCACGACTGAAATATTTGGAACTTCTAGGATATGAAAAGGAAGAGCTCGCCCTAAAGGTATTGTGTTCATTATTTGTAAATTGATTTGTAGTGTAAATGCCTGAGATTCTTTCTCTGTGTGTCAGAGTTTTGGACTTGATTCATTTTTGGTTGTGGATTTCAGATTGCATCAGCGTTAGAAGGAAATTGCAAACCTAAAGAGGCCGATATGGTAAGTGGAGCAATCATTGGGTTCTATATAACGGTTCCAGGTTTCTATCTTTGCAACTTGTTCAGGTAACCTCGGAATCCAATTTCAAAAATTGCTTTTTGAGATCACAAAAAGATTTATTTTTACTAAACAAGAGCAAAATAACTTTTGTTTCGTGCGCTTCCTAGCAAGAGGAAATTAAAGTTTTGGAGAAGAAGCTTCCTTATTGGAAAAATTTGGAACTTGAACTTGACAAACTAAGGGTGCTTTCACATCTGCAATTCGCTTCATTTGGTCCGGACCAAGGACAATAAATGATACATTGTTGCATCTTCTGCCGTCTGTGGGTCGTTTTCAAACCACACTGCTGGCTTTGGTCCGAACCAGTTGAAACAAACCAAAATGCAGTCATCTGACAAAATCCACATCTCTCATTGGCCAGATGTTGTTGAACGTATTTCCTAAACTTTTATTGATTGGTCAGAATTCACGTGCGGGAAAAGGCCAGTGAACTCCTGCAGGTAAACAAAACCTTTTACTCTGGAGGGACGACTGCGTTGGCTGATTGCATGCCTGCTTTAGACAAACTATACATTACGAAAATGAAGCACGGCCGCTGCTGGAAAACAGTGTTTAATGCATTGCTCGTCACTTCAGCAGGAGGCGTGAATTAATTGAGCTAAACTGCTACATGGTCATCTTGCGGAAATATTACCAACGATCCATCAGCTTAATGTTTTCCTCTCTCTCTCTCTCTGTTGGTAAAGCGCTGTCAACAAATATTTTTCCTCCATATCCCATAATGCACAGCGCATGCGCCTACGGCAGCTGAATTAGTCCAAAACGCGCAGTACTTTTTGCGGTAGGACCTGTTTTAGTACGGATCATATTCTCACCACAAACAAACCGCTCCAGGGTTTGTTTGAAAGTGTACCGAGACCACCTCTTCAAGCAGGTCTCGGTACGCTTATTTGGTCCGCTTTTGGTGCGCACTCGAGTACGATTGCTGCACTCTCACCTGCCCAAACGAATCGTACCAAAAGGGGAAACGAACTCTAGTGCGATTCAATCGAACCAAATAAGGCAGGTGTGAAAGCACCCTTAGAAATCAGTAAACCAAATTAAGTGGAAACCTCAGGAAAGTCTGAATTGTAAACAATATTTTGTTACCAGCAAACTGATAAAACCTTTATTTGCACCTTGACCCTTAACAGTTGCTTAGTCAGACATTTAAAACCCTGTTTTTAGCTGTAATTATTAGGTGCTTTGTTAAGTACTGCTCACTTTTGTGGGCTTTTCCACTGTGTTCCGTTCACTCTCAGAAATAAAAGTACAAGAGCTGTCATTGGGGTGGTGCCTTTTCAAAAGGTACAAATTTGTACCTTAAAGGTGCATATTAATACACCAAGGGTACATATTAGTTCCTAAAAAATGCAAAAGTGTACCTCTTAAAATTCGTAGGTACTAATATATACTTTTGAGGTACCAATGTAGACCCTTCAAGTAAAAATGTGTACCATTTGAAAAGATACCACCCCAGTGACAGCTTTTGTACTTTTATTTCTGATAGTGCACCTAGTAGCTGGAACTTTTTTGTACCACCTTGGGTGAGGTTCCAGGCATGTGATGCTAGACATGTACAAGGAGAAACGGATGCAATGAATCCCCAGGATTAATTAATAGTGGGTAATTATGGTCCGTCAAGCAGGATAACGTCTGGATTCTGTTTACCGTGTAACCCAGGGTTAAACTTTCAAGTGTGAAATACCATAAAGAATGAAATCTTTACTGGCTCTTCACATTAGCATCACTTTTTCTCTGTATTAATCATGTGTTTTCAATCTTTCATTGCTTCCATTTCATCAAATCCATCATGTGTGAAGCTTTCCATCATCCCTGCCTCCATTCCTCTTCATCATACCACTCCTGCTCCTGACCCGCTGTCAGACCCTTTGCCTGACATTAGTGATAACTCTGAACCAGTCCTTGAAACTCAGTCAAAGCCTGATCCTGATGCTTTGCTGGTTCAGCCTCAGATTGAGCCTAAATATGCAAGTCCTCCAAACCTTGAGCTACACCTTCAGTTTGTAAATGACCCTATGGTTGAGTCCACAACTGTCCCCAGTGCCAATACCTTACAACCTCACTCCCAACCTTTAGTGGACTTCACCCCACCAGTAGATCTCACCACCCTCTTTGACCTGACACCTCCAGTTGATCTCACCCACTCCTTTGACCAGACACCCCCAGTGGGCATTGCTGCTCCTGTTGACATTGTAACACAGGTTGGTCCTTCTGGGCAAGTTTCTTCACCTGAAGAGCAGTTGGATTCTCTGCCTCTCCTTACACCTTCGACTTGTCCTCAAGAGTCCAATCTGGCTCTGGAGTCTACTGATCTACTGCTGCCTACTGAATCTACTGCCACAATGGTGCCACACCAGTCTTCATGTGGTGCAACACCAGTTGAGTTTCAACAATCTGTGCCAATCACAGAGCAAGGATTTGGAGTAGTGCAGACTAAGCATCTTGAGCCTGCACAAGCATCTACTATAGGGTTACATCCAGCATCAGGATGTGACCCACTGGATGCTCCTGGCCTTTCTCCAGACATCTTGCCTCAAGAAGCTGTGTCTATGCAAGTATTAAATGTTGACCCTCAACTACCAACACAAGAATCTGACTTGATGACATCTGTGGCTGATCTTCTGAACGTTAGTGACTGCAAGCCAGAGTTGCAAGTTGAAGATGTTTTGGGTGGTGATGACCCAAATAATGGCAGGGCTAAAGAGGAAACGAAACTGGAGGAGGTACCTTCACCATGTTGAGAAATACTCCTGCTCTTGTTGCAGCATCCCTGTGTGACAGAGTATATTATATTTTTGGAATCAAATTATATAAACTGGACAAGATGCAGGGACAGAAATTTCAAGAAACGTTAAATTGTTCCCTCGGAAACTTGCAGTCTCACACAGGAATGTTGGCATTGTAGTTTTTTTTTGTTGTAGATTTGAGTATTGCGACTAACCTCAACCAAGGCTTTTAGTCTTGTGGCAATATGCATGTACTTTGTCTACCTTTTTGGGAATTGAGTACATGGAGAATCTGCATGATTGTACTACAATGGGTGGTAGTCGACTAACAAATGTAGTCATTTGGGCATTCTATGAATGATATTGATATTCTCATGTTTCACTTAGTATGTCATTAGGGGCACATTTCATGAGTACTTATAGTCTCTCAGACTTGCAATGGTCACTGAGCGCACATGACCTCTACATGCACAACGACCTAGAACAGGTGTCTTCAATTTAGGTCCTGGAGGGCCAATGTCCTGCAAACTTAAGCCCCAACTTACCTGAACACACCTGCCTGAAAGTTTCAAATATACCTAGTAAAGCTACGGTCACACTGGACTTGTCTCCCCATAGACCTCCATTGATATGCACGCGAATGCGTCAGACCGGAAACGCAAGGTCATGCGTCAAGTTTCGCTGGTTGCTGCGGTGCAAAGTTCAAGCTTGGTGAAGCTAAACTCTCCTAGACACTGGTCCTCCATGACAGAGTTTGGACACCCTTGGCTTAAAGTGACATTTAAAGGCTTAACTAGGTTAGTTAGGTTAACTAGGCAGGTTAGGGTAATTAGGCGAGTTAGTGTATAACGATGGTTTGTTCTGTAGACTATTGAAAAATATATAGCTTAAAGTGGCTAATAAGTTTGACCCTAAAATGGCTTTTAAAAAATTAAAAACTGCATTTATTCTAGCCGAAATAAAACAAATAAGACTTTCTCCAGAAGAAAAAAACATTATCAGACATACTGTGAAAATGTCCTTGCTCTGTTAAACATCATTTGGTAAATATTTGAAAAATATAAATATATATTTAAAGGGTGGCTAATAATTCTGACTTCAACTGTACGTATACTTTTGTAAATTTTTTTCTACTGTGGCTAAAGAGCATGTGTGCTAATGCTGCAGATGGATGACATTGCACTATTGTACTGGTAAAAAGATGGCAGAACAAGAATGATAGTTTTACAAGACATCAGCATCTTTCATTTTTCAAGTGGTTTGAAACACTGGAATAGAGATAATTTTAGCTGTGCTTCTGACAAATCGATGGGTTCAGTTAAAGAGCAAACATTTATCATTTGAAGTGAGGAAAAACTGCAGCAGCAAACAGTCCTATTTGAATAGAGTATTTTGCATATTTGCTTGGGATGCATGTTAGTGGTTTAAATGGTGGCTTAAAATAGTAAATGCCATACTTGGTTAATAATTGAATAACTGACAGGTAGCAAACATTTAAATTTAGTTTTTCTTCTTATCCAGGATAAGGAGGAAGTCCTCGCAGAGGAAGAAGCAGAATCCGACCTGGATGATATTCCTGTTAACGAGGAAGAACCTGTTGTTGAAGAGACATCCAACACAGAAGTTCCTCCTGCTCCAGCTTCAGACACCATTAACCTCAAAGTTAGCCAGGGCAAGTGTCTGTATTAGTATCTTAATATTAATAAATCTCTTAGCATATGACATGTTTAGCATCAAATTATGTAAGAGCTGATTGGTTTATTCATTCTGTTTTATTGTTCAATTTTTTATTGTATATTGTTTTAGATATTGATGGACTGATAACTCAAGCGCTGCTCACTGGTGATTATGAAGCTGCTGTTAATCTCTGTCTCCATGATAACCGAATGGCTGATGGCATCATCCTGGCCATTGCTGGTGGTCCTGAGCTTCTGGCAAAGACTCAGAGGAAATACTTCTCCAAAACTGAAAGCAAAATCTCCAAGGTAAGGTACCACTGTATAAACAATGTGTTTTCTCTATGATATCTTAATTATACTAGTTATAATATGTATTTTTTCTTCATATTTAGATCAGACCAGAGACTAATCTTTTTGTTTCCTTTTTGCGATTTATTACATTAATGAAATTTGACACGATATGCAATATTGAATAGCATTGGTCAATGACCAATGGTCACGAAACACCAAAACACATGTTTTGAGCTGTTGACAGTCATATATGTGTCCGACGCTGCTAAAAACTCTATTAGGACACACATATTTCACTAAAAAGTGAAAATTGGTTGTTTTTCCAGCAAATTCTTCCGGTTTGAAACTAATTTTTGAAAGCCGAGTCAAGCCGATTAGATCCTTGCGTGTAATCCAGCGTCTAGAATGGCTGTCTGTACCGGCGAGTACATCGTGTGATCTCTGAGTGTGCGCCATTAATTCATGAGAAAGACTTGGTTCAAACCAATCAGCGCTCTATTTTGTATGAGGTGCAACTTCATTGATATGATGATAGCTTCGAAGACCTGTTACAGTGTTCAGACGGCAGAGAGATGCCATGTTGTGTTGCTAAAACAAGTGGAAGAACAAGAATTGTTTGGAGACACGGGTCGTCAGTGTTGTGTTTATAAATGTGCTGCAATGAAGGTTTTGTTTTCAATTCCTGCTATATTAGCGCAGCAGGACTCGCGTGTGAATTACGGTGCACACGACAGCTTTTTTTTTTTTTTTACCCGAGAGCTCTTTTTACAATTGATGCAGCTCTAGTTTGTGTTGATTGTCCTGTCTCTACAGATTTGGTAACTAAGCAGTCAGTGGTCTTTGTTTATTCAGATGGCAGAGTTAGTGTAGTCAGCAGTACTCTTTCGGTGTTTAAAGACAGACTTTAGTCAAATGTATTTTAGTTATTAAGTTTAAAGTATGTTAATATCACTAAAATATAAATGGACTGAAAGATCCGCTGTAAATGATGCTCTCTGAGTGTAAACACTGCAATCAAACTTTTGCCTCGCATCCAATATCTCGTTTGTCACGGGGGGCATGCAAGAAATGTTCCTGAATAAAAGTGAAAGTGTCAAACTGCAAATTAATCATTTGCCAAATAATTCGATTACTGATGTCCATGTAAACAGTCACTGTCTCAAGCCTGGTTTATACTTCTGCATCAAGTGACTGGCGTAACCCACGGCGTATGCAACGCCCGTAGCTGTGCATTTATACTTCTGCGCGCTGTCTCTGTCGGTCTGCATTAACACTTCCGAAACGCTAGTTGGCAGTGAGGTGTAAATGTTCCTCTGTGTCGAGTTTCTTCGCTGCTGTTTTGCTTTTCCTGAACACTTCCGGGATGTGTTCAGTGGCTCAAACTCGCTCATTTTGAGGCAGGAACCGGCGGACGTGCAACAACTTTAACTATGAGGTAAACACAAAACAAAACTTTCCATCCGGAGCTCCTTCACAGGACTCCACACTTGTAAACAATCGCTCCATTGGGCTCAAGCCATTCGCGCGGCTCTCGGTCCCGCCCAGACTCGTGAGCGCTACCAAGCCGACCAATCACAGAGCTTGCACTACGCATCGTTGCAACCTGCAGTTACATTTTTTGAGAGTTGCATGTCAGCAACGACCACAGCGTAGGGCTATGCTTCAACGCCGTAGCATACGCCGCCATTTGACGCAGAAGTATAAATCAGCCTCCCCTGCGTCTGTGTGTTTGTTTTGCCTCTGTGAAAATCAGCGTGTGCCCAAACGGAACCTCCCATTTTTATGCAAACTCTTTTCTCTTTCCCTCCCTTGACACTCCCACCTAAACAGAGCTAGACACACCCACTTTCCTGATTTATTTATTTATTTTTCCAAACTAGAGGTTTGAAAACATTCTGCTGACACAGAGAGGTTACCATGCCCTTTAAATGTTTATTATAAAACAATTTTCAGTCCTTTTTCTGATTGTTGAGCATCAATAAAAAAGCTGTTGTAATGTATTTTACAAGCGTACACCTTTGACTTCATTATATCAGTAATGCTGCGTTATATTCTATACTGCTGCGTTTGTGTTGCTCTATAATCACTCATTAGCATCTACAACCTTTTCTGTAGAACTGCATTGTTTTGTGGAAGACTGATGTATTAAAGTCTGTGAAATCAAAATTTACAATGTTCATTTTGCTAGCGCACATTTTTTTTAAGGGGAACAAGCTATGTAAATATAAGACCTGCACATGTGACGCATATATGGAATAACCATTTTACAAGCCCTGCAAATCTGTGGCTGATAGTGAATAACCACCTTTTTAGCTGTTTTAAATTCACTGTAAACCACGGCCCCACAGGGCTGTTTATTCTAAATGTTTAATATTGTACTGCTGCTGGTTTAAACTTGTACATGATCTGCTGAATGACATTATCTCAATGTGTTTTAGCTTATTAGCGCTGTGGTGATGAAGGACTGGTTGGACATTTTGGAAACCTGTGACCTCCAGAACTGGAAGGAAGCTTTGGCTGCGGTCATGACTTACGCCAAGCCAGAGGAGTTCTCTGCACTCTGTGGTGAGTCTGTTATACTGTCGAAAACATACAGTCCCTTAAGTCCCATACAATCCCTTAAGCCCAACGTATACTTTTTGTTTTGTTTTTGCTTGCACATTAGTGTATGCTCACAGTGGCTTTCAAATTGTACACACACAGAGGTGCAAGGAAACGTCCTTGTCCAGTATCTGAGCTTTTGTTTCTCTAGCACAGTGGTGTCAAACCCAAACTTGTACAGGGCCACACTGAGTGTTGCGAGTAAAGTCAGGGGCCATACATCCACATTTAAAAAAAACTATTTATTGGAGAAAATGAAAGTGTATTAACAACTGTAGAAAATCTCTTACACTTCATTAAACCACGTTTATCAAAATAGTAAGGTATTACATTTAATTTGTGTCACAAAACCTGTCTATCAAAACTTGAAATAAGGTCTCTAACCAATATAAGCATAAAACAGTACAGTAGGCTAGCATAGAACTGTAGTCTACTTTAAAAATGATTTCATATTTAGAAAAAACTGATGATAAAACAAAACGCCAACAACTGATATACCACATTGTAACAAGCAACAGATGATTTCTGATATTTAATTATTGAACTTATTCTTTTAACTTTAAAAAGGCAACCTTATCATGAAATGATCTATGCCAACTGTCGATGCCTACAACTGAACTCGTGGATTTCAGAGGAAAAAAAATCAAGCAATACATTTATTAGTAGGCTATTAAAAATAAATGGTAGCCTATATAAAAAATGGAAAGAAATCGTATTATTTAGATTATTTTGCTCCAAAGGACACTTGCACTGGGCTTACATGCCAAACCTAAGAAAATTAGGGATTTTTACCAGACATTCTGCATCTTTTCATAGAAACAATCTCATCTATTTTAGGTGTAATTTCTTGTGCCATGGCTACTTTCATCCTAGATGCAATATGGTGGTCTGTGAGGCGGGATCTGTGGGATGTTTTGGTCAGCTTCATTATAGGGAACATTTATTTACATGGGTATTTCACCTTGGTTGAAATTGTCGATTTTCGATGTCCACTTTGCGTTTTTTTTGACATTGTGCTAGTCCCAGAAATATTTGACCTTGTTTACATTTAGTGTAACGTTTTGCTAACGTCTAAATTAGTGAGTAGGGTAAAGCACAACAGCACCACCTGCGTCTCAATATTGTAATTGTCACAGACCTAATATTTAAAGCGGGCACGGGCCACTTGAACTTCATTACAAAAACTTGTTGTCGGGCCTAAATAAATGATTTGACGGGCCGCATTTGGCCCGCGGTCCTTGTAATTGACACATGTGCTTTAGCAGAAATGATTGATAAAAATGTCTTTGTACTCATTTAAGGTAGACTTGTCAATAACTTTGTGGATGTTTTTTGTTTTGTTTTTGCCTTTATCGGTAGTGTTTTTGTTCTTGTTCTGTCCTCCTAATTTCCTAATTTCCTCTTAATTAAAAAAATGTTCAGTTTTTCAGTGAAACTAAGGCTGCATTTACACTGCAGATCTTGATGGTCAATTCCGATTTTTTTTTACTGTATCCGATTTTTTTTTTCTTTTTTTTTTTTTGCTGACCTGCTTACATCATCTTTTAAAAGTGACTCGTATCCGATTGTCTGAATTTTCACAGCACACGGCAAAGGCGCAATGACAGGAAAAAAAGAGCGGGCGCTGGCCAACAGCTGATAATTAAAAAGTGCTCTTTTCTCTATTCCTGTATGTAATCTGTTTGCAGCTTTTGTCAAGCTGTTTTACTATAGTTTATGACAAAGACTCTCATTTTTCCATCTTCTTTTGATATATAGGCTTTTTAAAACCTTTAGGCATCTTAATGTAATGTCCATGGCGTAATTTATGCTTGTGATGTCTGCACTAGTTTTATATTAGTTTATAATGGTTATGTGGCGGACATTGCGCCCTCTCGCTCTCGTTAACATGCTTAAATACATGTGCTATATGACAATATAAAAGCTGTTTAAGTCCTCGTGTATGAGGTATAAGGTTTGGGACTCTGCTGAAGTCTATTCTGAAATGAAAGCATCATGGTTGCTATGGTTTTTAATGTTGTGCGACTCTCATTGACAGGTGAAAATCTGATCTACCTGCTTACACCGCAGACACGAGAACACAGATCTGATTCACAACGGATCAGACTAATAAAAACAATATAGGAAATACTAGCCCCTTTCACACATACAGACCTTTCCGGAAAATTGCCGGCAATTTTCCGGAAAGGTTGTATGTGTAAACAGGTCCTTTTTGAAAATACCGGTAAATTCGTTCTGGCTATTTTCCGGAAAGAGTAGTTGTAACATTACCGGCAATTTTCCGGAATGCTGCGCTGTGTGAATGCAGAAGGAAGATTACCGTAATAAGCGCGTGCACGTCTAGAACGTGCTGACGTGAGACGTCTGCTTTAGCCAATCACAACAGTCAGACGCATTTACGTCCGCGCGGTTTGTGAGAATAAAAACCTTTGAATATTTTTCCAGACACATTTAGCTGCTAGAAGATAGTCAGGTCACGTTTATATGTTCTACTTAATGCCAACTGTGTAAATAATCATCGATGAGATGCTTATGACAAGCCGTTGTTTGTTTACCTTCAAGCTTTGCATGTGCCTATGAAACAGCCTGTGAGCGCCTGCACACGCACATATTATGAACATCTCGACATGCGAAAGTGATCCTGTGAAAGTTGTTCACAATATTGATCATCCACAGAGTTTGTAATTTAGTCAAATGTTTACAAATACAAGCGCAGCCGTTTAACGCTCATTTGTGGTGAATGATGTCATAATTTACCGGTATTTTGGAATGGATGTGTGAATGCTCTTTTCCGGAAAATTTCCGTAACGTCCTTGCCTGTGTGAACAGCGCTTTTTTGAATATACCGGTAAAGTCGTTCTGAAAATTTTCCGGATATTTACCGGTATCACTGTGTGAAAGGGGCTAATGTCTTTGGTCTGTTAAATATCCATTGGGAGATATTTTAATGCAAATGAATAAAACATTTTACATGAGGGCTAATCATTTTGACTTCTACTGTATGTTAAATGTTATGTTTTCTCCTGCAGGTCTGCTGGGCTCCAGGCTTGAGTCTTCAGAGGACGTGGAGCTGCAGGCTCAGGCTTGTCTCTGCTACATCTGTGCGGGCACAGTCGAGCAGCTGGTCTCCTTCTGGACCAAAACTCAGGATTCCTGCAGCCCTCTGTCCCTGCAGGTCAGACCAGACCCATGTTTCCCACACCTGGGTTTATTGCGCATGATTGTTTTCGTTCACAAACACAATGATAGCATCTTTAGGTATATCGTTTTCAGCGTTTTGTGTTAATGTGTTTGTAGGAGCTGGTTGAGAAGGTGGTGGTGCTCCAGAGAGCTGTGGAGAAAGCTCAGGGTGCGGTTCCTGCTGATATGGGTGCCCTGCTGGCAGAGAAGATGAATCAGTATGCCAGTCTGCTGGCGTCACAGGGCAGCTTGCAGACAGCAATATCCTACCTGCCCACAAACACTGAACAGGTAAACAACTCTATAAAGAGATTTGTGCAAGAAATGTGACATTGACTACATGCACATGCACATCAGTAATGTAATTATTTGCCTTAATCTGAATAAGACAATAATATGATTAAGGTGTTTACATGAGTTGCGTTTCGAATGTTTTTTTTTTTTTTTTAGTCCCGTTTTACATCTTATAGCACATAATTCGATTAATGTCATTGTGTTACCACACTATCCACCAGGAACCTCCAGGAACGAGATTGGTGACCCCTGCTCTATATGTTTCCATCAAAGTTGTTCACAATACTGATCCATCCACAGAGATTGTAATGTAATCAAATTTGTACAAATACAAGCGCAGCCGTTTCTGTAAAAATTCCGTAATGTCCTCGCCTGTGTGAACAGTGCTTTTTTTGATTTTCCGGTAAAGTCGTTCCGGTTTAGTCAGTGATGTCGCCAACCAAATCGGACACGAAAAATTTGCTTGATGGAAGAGAGGAGGTCTATATATTTATACACACACACACACACACACACACACACACACACACACACACACACACACACACACACACACACACACACACACACACACACACATATATATATATATATATATATATATATATATATATATATATATATATTTGTGTGTGTATATATATATATGTGTGTGTATGTGTGTATATATGTATTTATATACACACACACACACACACACACACACACACACACACACACACACACACACACACACATATATATATATATATATATATATATATATATATATATATATATATATATATATATATATTTGCAGTAAAGGTTAAAGTATACTATGGTAATTACCATTAGTTCATGATCGTTACTAATGATACTATTATGTAGTGTAATTTTATAATTCATTTATAATTGATATATATACACACACACACACAATATAATGCTTGTTTCCCTTTACTATAAATTACTATAGTATTTTAAATCTGTAACACCTGGTTTAATTGGATTTTTAGTTTTTGCTGTTATATACTAGAATTTGTTTTTGTTTGGTACAGCATATTATTTACAGTAAATAATTGAAAAAAAATTTGAAGTGGGGCTAATAATTCTGACTTCCACTGTACATACATGCATTCATACATGCATACATACATACATAAATACATACATACATACATACATACATACATACATAAATACATACATACATACATACATATAAACATTCATATATACATACATAGGCATACCTATTACCTGCACAGGGTTTCTAACGTCTTGACATGCATTAGTAATTTATTAGTTATTTTTTTATTGTAATGACATTAATAGACCCTCCACAATGTTGTTTTTCTCTATATACATTTATAATTTGTGTAAGTATAAAAATGTTGGTTGTTCCAAAAAAATATTTATTTGGTAAATCTTAAAACATTCATACTAGATTTGTAGCAAAAATGCTACCAAAATAAACAAAACAGTTCCAAGATTATTAAGCGTCATTGCACAGTTTATTCAGACTTTATGGAAGAAATTGAAGTGAACTGTGAAAATGAATAAGGAGTTTCGGTCCCACTTTATATTAAGTGTCCTTAACTACTATGTACTTACATCAAAAAATAAATACATTGTACTTACTGTGTTTATAATGTATTTGAGAACACTTTTGGTGCTCTTGAGATGTGATAGAGGTTGGGTTATGGGTAGGTTTAAGGGTAGGTTAAGGTGTAAGGGATGATCAACAGTGTATTTAGAAATGTAATTACAAAAGTTAATTACAGATGTATTTACATACATGTATTTAATTAAGCATAAGTACACAGTTAATACATTTATTTACACAATAAGTACATTGTAACAAACTATTAATTCCTGTGTAATTAAGGGTGCTTTCACACCTACACTTTTGTTTCGGAACGTATCTCGTTTGCCCAGTTAGTGCAGTTCGATTGGCATATGTGAACAGGGCAATCGCGCTCTGTTCCGCGCCAAAGTAATCGCTCCGAGATCGCTTGATTGAGGTGGTCTCGGCTCGATTGAAACGAACCCTGGAGCGGTTCGATTACAGTGAGAAAGCGATCCGATCCGAGCGCGGTTGTATCACTGTGTTTTATGGATATGTAATAGGCATACGGCTATATGAAGAGAGAATTATGAGTAGGGCGGGAAGTTTCGCGAGTCTCCGGATGCCCCCAAACGAGTGATGATCTCCCGGTAATCTCGGATCTCCCTCTCGGTCCTCAAATAGGCATCGTCGCGCATCCTTCTCACCCCTCCCCACCGCGTCTCTCCTCAGACACGTCGCACGTGCGCACCCTGTCAATCACCACCAAACCACCACCTCTCCTGACAGATGAGTGGGACGCTGCAAAATAAACCCTGACACTCTGACCAATGTGAGGAGAGTTTACTCGCACGTGATTTGTTTTAGCTCTTTTGGTCCGATTAGAAACTTTGCAATGTGAAAGCGATCCGCTCCAAGAGCAAAGAGCAACAATGTAACATTTGTAATCTCTGTTTCGGAACAACTGAATCGATTCACAGGTGTGAAAGCACCCTAATATTCTTGTGGAATGCCCCATTTTTAATGTTCTTAGACAACAATTTTTAACTGGAGAGACTCTAAGTGAAATTTTTTTTAAATCTGAATCCTTCTAAAATTGTTGAATTTTTATCAAAAGGAAACCTTAAAAACTGTTTTAGATTTTTATCATATATATTATCATTATTATTATTATTTATGTATTTTACCTTGTTTATTACTTATTTCTGTTAATGACTTAATTTTTAGGACTTTTTTAAATATATAGAAAAGTGATATTTATAAAATGTAGAAACCTTGATCTGTTTTTTTTGCCATGACATAGCCATAGAAGCTGAAATGGCAATAAAATTAAAACTCTCTCTCTCTCTCTCTCTCCTCTGTAAGCACATAGTAGTTAAGGCCACTTAATATGAAGTGGGACCGGAGTTTCAATGTTATACATTTTTTGCGTTATGATGGATGATTGGAAAAGTTGCCACAACCGTTCACTCATGCTTAATGGATGAGAAATTATGTCAGCTTTGTAATTTGATGATTTTTATTTTTAGGTTTCTGTGCAGCAGTTGCGAGAGCGTTTAAGCAGAGCTTTAGGACAGCATCAGCATCCTCAACAGCCTGCAGCTGCAGTCACTGGCATCCAGAAAATGCATCAGACGCGTCCTGCTGCTGTACCAATGCAGACATACTCACAACCTCAACCTCCTGCTCAGCCCGCTGCGCCTGCTGTACCTCCTCAGTATTACCAGCAGGTACGATATACACTCACGCACAGCTGAATAGCACACGCGCAGGTCCATTATTTGTGGTCCTGTGGCCGATACCAGAGTGTGTTTGTGTTTGTGTTGTGTTCAGGGTAGATCCGCCACTACTGTCACATCCTGGAGTAACCAAACCCCAACAGCTCTGCCCAGTGTCCCTCGCCAGCTAGTGCCCTCCTCTGACCCGCAGGTACAGACTGACAGAGCTGTGCCCGCGCTGCGCACACTGACAGATACAAACTCTACATCCCGCACGGGCAATAACAAAGATCTAAAGGCCCCAAAATGCTCACAGTTAACTTCTGTTTTGCTGTTTGGATGCTTAGGGTTAAAAAAAAAAGACTTAAATACTTGAGGATCGGTTTACTGTTAGCAAAAATCTCAGCACTAAGAGCGGCATTCAGATTAATATATATTAGGGCTGGGATAGTAAAGTCTTGCAAATCGTGGATCAATTGTTAGAAACCAATTCTGAGATTTTTTTTTTTTACAGCAGACAATGCTCTAGGATAGTTTTTTAACAGCCATTTAGCATAAGTTTAAGAGCATACATTGTCCTATGCTAGTTTTCAACAGCCGTTTAGCTAGTTTTTACCAGTAGACTGTGTTCCATGCTAATTTTTAACAACATACGATGCTCTAGGCAAGCTTTTAACAGCAGACAGTGCTCTAGGCTAGTTTTTAAACAGTGTTATGGGCTAGTTTTTCCCAGCTGAAAAATCAAGCTTGAACCAGCCTAGGCTGTTTGGTTGGTTTTAACTGGTCGACCAGCCTGGTTTTAGAGGGGTTTCCAGCCATTTATAGCCTGGTCTTAGCTAGTCAAGCTGGGAGATGACTAGCTTCAACCAGCCAAAGCCCAGCCAAAACCAGCTATGTCCAGCTTAAACCAGGCCGGTCAAGCTGGTTTTAGCTTGTCATTTCCCAGTCTGACCAGCTAAGACCAGGCTGGAAATAGCTGGAAACCAGCCTGGAAATGGCAAAAACCCCTCTAAAACCAGGCCACCAGCTAAAACCAGCCAACCAGCCTAGGCTGGATTAAGCTATTTTTTTCAGCAGGGTTAACGGCAGATTTGCTAGTTTTTAACCGTAGACTGCGTTCTATGCTAGTTTTTAACAGAAGACAATGTTGCAGGTTAGTTTTTAACAACAGACAATGTAATTGTTGTTTTAACAACAACAATTTACATAACATCAACACTCTAGTCTAGCTTTTTACTTGCAGATGTTGCTCTAGGCTAGTATTTAACAGAAGTAAGTCTAGTTGTCAACAGCAGACGGTGCTCTAGGCTAGTTTTTAGCAGCTGACAGTGATATAGGCTAGTTTTTAACAGCAGTTAAGCTAGTTTTAACAGTAGACTGTGTTCTGTGCTAGTTTTTAACAACATACGATGCTCTAGGCTAGCTTTTAACAGCAGACGGTGCTCTATAGGCTAGGTTTTAGCAGTAGACGGAGCGCTATACTAGTTTTTAATTGGCAGACTATGCTCTAGGCTAGTTTTTAACAGCAGACAGAGTTATAGGCTAGTTTTTAACAGCAGTTTCGCTAGTTTTTAACCGTAGACTGCGTTCTATGCTAGTTTTTAACAGAAGACAATGTTGCAGGTTAGTTTTTAACAACAGACAATGCTCTAAGATAGTTATTAACAGCAAATGGCCCCAGTGCTAGTGTGTTAGCATTAGATGACACTCTAGGCTAGCTTTTTACTTGCAGATGTTGCTCTAGGCTAGTGTTTAACAGCAGACGGAGCTCTATACTAGTTTTTTGTCAGCAGATGGTGTGCTAGGCTAGTATTTAACAGAAGTTAGTCTAGTTGTCAACAGCAGACGGTGCTCTAGGCTAGTTTTTAGCAGCTGACAGTGATATAGGCTAGTTTTTAACAGTAGTTAAGCTAGTTTTAACAGTATACCCTGCTGAAAAATCCAGCTTAAACCAGCCTAGGCTGGTTGGCTGGTTTTAGCTGGTCAACCAGGCTGGTTTTAGAGGGGTTTTGGCCACTTCCAGGCTGGTTTCCAGCCATTTCCAGCCTGGTCTTAGCTGGTTAGGCTGGGAGATAACCAGCTTGACCAGCCTAGCAGGCTGGGAGCCCAGCCAAAACCAGCTATGTCCAGCTTAAAACAGGCTGGTCAAGCTGGTTTTAGCTGGATTTAGCTGGTCATTTTCCAGCCTGACCAGCTAAGACCAGGCTGGAAATGGCTGGAAACCAGCCTGGAAGTGGCCAAAACCCCGCTAAAACCAGCCAACCAGCCTAGGCTGGTTTAAGCTGGATTTTTTAGCAGGGTAGACTGTGTTCTATGCTAGTTTTTAACAACATACGATGCTCTAGGCTAGCTTTTAACAGCAGACGGTGCTCTATAGGCTAGGTTTTAGCAGTAGACGGAGCGCTATACTAGTTTTTAATTGGCAGACTATGCTCTAGGCTAGTTTTTAACAGCAGACAGAGTTATAGGCTAGTTTTTAACAGCAGTTTCGCTAGTTTTTAACCGTAGACTGCGTTCTATGCTAGTTTTTAACAGAAGACAATGTTGCAGGTTAGTTTTTAACAACAGACAATGCTCTAAGATAGTTATTAACAGCAAATGGCCCCAGTGCTAGTGTGTTAGCATTAGATGACACTCTAGGCTAGCTTTTTACTTGCAGATGTTTCTCTAGGCTAGTGTTTAACAGCAGACGGAGCTCTATACTAGTTTTTTGTCAGCAGATGGTGTGCTAGGCTAGTATTTAACAGAAGTTAGTCTAGTTGTCAACAGCAGACGGTGCTCTAGGCTAGTTTTTAGCAGCTGACAGTGATATAGGCTAGTTTTTAACAGTAGTTAAGCTAGTTTTAACAGTATACCCTGCTGAAAAATCCAGCTTAAACCAGCCTAGGCTGGTTGGCTGGTTTTAGCTGGTCAACCAGGCTGGTTTTAGAGGGGTTTTGGCCACTTCCAGGCTGGTTTCCAGCCATTTCCAGCCTGGTCTTAGCTGGTTAGGCTGGGAGATAACCAGCTTGACCAGCCTAGCAGGCTGGGAGCCCAGCCAAAACCAGCTATGTCCAGCTTAAAACAGGCTGGTCAAGCTGGTTTTAGCTGGATTTAGCTGGTCATTTTCCAGCCTGACCAGCTAAGACCAGGCTGGAAATGGCTGGAAACCAGCCTGGAAGTGGCCAAAACCCCGCTAAAACCAGCCAACCAGCCTAGGCTGGTTTAAGCTGGATTTTTTAGCAGGGTAGACTGTGTTCTATGCTAGTTTTTAACAACATATGATGCTCTAGGCTAGCTTTTAACAGCAGACAGTGCTCTATAGGCTAGGTTTTAGCAGTAGACGGAGCGCTATACTAGTTTTTAATCGGCAGTGTTATAGGCTAGTTTTTAACAGCAGTTTAGCTAGTTTTTAACCGTAGACTGCCTTCTATGCTAGTTTTTAACAGAAGACAATGTTGCAAGTTAGTTTTTAACAGCAGGCGGTGCTCTAGACTAGTTTTTGTTACCAGTTGCTGCTCTAGTCTAGAATTTAACAGCAGTTAGTGTTGTTGTTCACAGCAGATGGCGCTCTAGGCTAGTTTTTAACAGCAGACAGTGTTATAGGCTAGTTTTTTACCCCCAGATGCGCTCTAGGCTAGTTTTTAACAGCAAATAGTCTAATAATATTTTTTAGAATTGTAATTAATAATACTTTTTTAGGGCTTTTTTTACCTTTAATAGGATAGGATAGTGAAGAGTATCAACAGAAAAGTATGGGGAGCAGAGAGAGGCGTGGACCTTGTGGCAGGAATCAAACTCAAGTTGCTGTGCATACTTTAGTACAACATGTCAACACTAACTACAAGGTTATTGCCACATACCTGGCAATTTTTTTTACAGCAGACAGTGCTATAGGTTAATTTTTATCCACAGATGTCTCTCTAGGCTAGTTTTTTTTTACAGCAGTTGGTGCTCTACGCTAGTCTTTTAGCAGCAGATGGAATGCTAATTTTCTCACTATATTTTGGGGATCTTTTGCCTTATTGGTATATATATTGGAATTTTCTTATTGGCTGATATATTGGAAAAGTGCATAGTTTATCCCAGTTCCCCCTAGATTTTCATGTGTATTTTACTGTGGACACCTTTTTGTTTGCTTTTGCAGACTAAAGAACGTGTATCATACCTGCAGACTTAACTTTAATCATAATTTTTTGGTTTAGGAAGTTTCCAGATGCTGGAGTATTTAAAAAAACACTTAAACATCATAGTTTTATTTAATTACCATAATTTACTGATGATTCTATTAATAAGTAATATTGCAAAAGTAATGTTAGAGCTGATTTGAGTTTGCAGGTTTGCTCTTGTTCTGATGTTCTGTGGCTTCTCTTTATTAACACATTAATGTTTGTTTAACTTTACAAATCAATGTCTTATTTATCCTTTTTTATGTTAACCTTTTTATTTTGACAGCAGTTTCATATATGATATTTTATGGAAAGTTAGTCTCTTGTAAGTTTCATTAGTTCAGTTGTTTTTTGTAAACAACAACAAAAAAGCACTTGCACTACTTCATTCTTACCGAGTTACATTTACAAATGTAGAATGCTATCAAATAAAGCTAAATATTTTAATAAAGCTAATAGACATTTAAACAATTCATTTGGATTTTGTAATCCATATTGTGATTGATTAATTATTGGTCCACAAATGGAATAATGGCTTGAAAATTTTGATGCATTGATAACATATTTTATTTATATTTCTATCTATTAACTGCTCATTTGCATTCAAATAAACACTTCATTTGCATAAAAAATATTCCGCTAAATCATTAAAAAGGGTGATTTAAATGTTTTGAAAAAAATCTTAAAATAAAAAATTTGAGTTTCGTAAGTACATTTCTTAAAATTAAGAATTATAATTTTGAAATAATAAAATATTAACCATAAAATAATGTAATAAAATGTACAAAAGTATGTAATATAACTATATATAATGGCATCACTATGAACAACATTATAAATGATTTATTTGAAGAAAAACTGACAATAGTGGCTGATGAGATGTTTGTTTAATGCTTAAGCGTTTATGTATGTAATAACTTCCTAATATCACCAGTGATCAAATCTGTTCAAGGATTCAGATTTGGTGTATTGAGTGTTTGTCTTTCAAACTACAAGCATTACAATGCCTTTCGGTAGCAGCCAGACCAATTATTATACTACAATAATAATACTTTAAAAAAAAAGGATTAAAGAAGGATAAAAAGAAGGATTCATTAATTAAATGAAATGTGACCGTGTGGAAATGTATACAAATTGTAAATGTTAAATTATTATTTTGAAACTTTATATTCAAAGAAAAAAATCTCGATCTCTTGTGACAATAAAAACTAATGATGATGAATATATATATATATATATATATATATATATATATATATATATATATATATATATATATATATATATATATATATATATATAGATAGATATAGATAGATATAGATAGATATATAGATATTACAAAGAAACATCAACAAAAAAAACAATAACAAACAAAAAACTAAGACAACAACATTATAGTCAGGTGCGTGCGTGCGTGTATGTAAAGGTAACTTGGTGGACAGGTCAGAGTACATACATAAGGTACAATAATAGTCAATAAATGAAGCAAGTATTGCAGATATATGAAAGTAATATTTTAAAATCCATTCAAATAGAAAAACTTATTTATAATTTGCAACAATTTGTAATCTTTTTTAATATTTTAATAGTAATCGTATTTCTGCTTTGAATGCAGCCTTGTTGAGCATAAGAGGCTTTTTAAAACATTAGTAGTAGTATTGAATCAAATCCAAAGAGTTTTGCACAATGTTTGTGTTAATCGCAGGACTGGTTTTCCTCAACACACAACATGACAGAAGTCTTTCTAAATGCCCTTCTCTGTCTTCATTTGTCTTGTCAGGGGGACTCCACACCTCCAGCCTTTGGCCTGCAGTCTCCAGCGATGGCGTCTGTTCCTGCTTCCACTCCGTTCATGTACTCGCAGCAGTACCAGAGTAAGTCTGCAAAACACTGCAGTCCTGGTTTTTACAACAAATATATTTTTTAAAAAAAAATGAAAATTCTATCATTGTTTACTCTCATGTTTTTCCAAACCCCTGAGGCCTTCGTTCATCTTCATAACACAAATGACAATATTTTAGATGAAATCCTGGAGCTCTCTAATCCTCCATAGACATCAATAGTCCTAGACATCTAGTGTAAAACGTCCAACGATTCGTACCCTGAATAATGTATTCATACATGTTCGTCTATGTTTTCTAATCAGCCGTGTCAGATCTGCTTGTGCTTTTACTACAGGTAGTGCAACACGTGTGTTTCACTGCTGACTCCAACCCCAGTACCATTTATTTCGTCTTTGTTTGATTACAGTTGAAGGCTGAAGTCACATGTAATGTTTTGACAATGTTTTTAGATTGTGAAACATACCTGGAACAACATATTCATTTATTCTGTCAAAATTGTAGTCTAAGGGGGATGCATTTCCAATAAGCCTGGGCTGCTTTTTTTTTTTACAAGGATCGCTCCTGCAAAAACGTAAAACATGGAAGTGGTTAAAATGAGAAGTGCCCAGAGAACATAAGCAGTACGCAAAATGCTACACGCCAATAGAATTTTTTTATTTCATGTTCCGTGTGATCCATGCCTTAGTTACCACACAGCTAAAGTAGTTAAAATTACATAACCCAAAAAAAAATTATAATAAAATAAAAAAATAATTATATATATAAATATTGATAAAAACAATAATAACACAGTAATAAAGTGTTTATATATGGTTCAAAATTCTTCTGCTTGCCATTGATAATATAAGTTAGTCTCTTCAATCCAGTACAGTTTAATATCTATTTATTCCACAATTCTATGGATAGTGTTGTCACGATACTGGAATTCGATACCAATCGGTACTGAAATTTTTAAAATGTCCATTTCCTGCTAACATTTGGGCGCTGTTGATGGCGTTCTTAAACTACGCTGATTTGCCATTGTGTTCACGTGCTCGAGAAATGACTGTGATTAGCCGAGAAGGTCATCAATTCCCCAAACTCACCACTGTTTAACAACAAATACAGGGACACTGGAGCGTTTCAAAGCCGTGAAGCTCATAAACAGACCAGCTGATCTTCGTGGCTTTAAAATACTCCAGACCAAGTAGTATTACACACTCATTACATGTTTATTACATATTAATAAACTAGCTTTGAGTACAAAAATCTTCAACTACTTTGGGCATTGTCTACCCTGTTTACAGAGATTATATGAAGAAACTATTACACGTTTACTACATGCTTATTACATATATACTAAAATAAAATACTAAAGCATTTTTTTAAATTACAAACAGTTCAACTAAGTTGTACATTGTCTACCTGTTTACATATAGATTTTATAAAGAAGCGTTATTACATGTCTATTACACATTTATTATGTGTTTGTTGCATGTTTATTACATACTTGTATACATATTAAACTACTTTTCCTTCACAAAACTGTTCCAACTATTTTGCTGCTTTAAAACACTCCAGTGTCCCTGTATCTGTGGCTACATTCAGTAAACAGCGGTTCGGTGAGCTGATGATTTGACTAAGAAGCAGTATTACATGCTTATGACATGCTTATTACAAATAAATAAACTAGCTTTCTTTGATTACAAAAATCTTCAACTACGTTGCACATTGTCTACCTTGTTTACAGATGGATTTTTTAAAGAAACATTATTACTTCTATAACACATTTATTGCATGCTTATTACGTATTTATTGCATGCTTATTACATGCTTATTATATGCTTATGTTTATTACATGATTTATACATGTTTATTACATGCTAATTACGTGTTTGTTACATGCTTATTACATGCTCAATACATATAAATAAACTAGCTTTCTTTGATTACAAAAATCTTCAACTACATTGCACATTGTTTACCTTGTGTACAGATGGATTTTTTTAAAGAAACATTATTACGTCTATAACACATTTGCTTATTACATGCTTATTATGTGTTTGTTACATGCTTATTACGAGTTTGTTACATGCTTATTACGTGTTTGTTACATGCTTATTACGTGTTTGTTACATGCTTATTACATGCTTGTACATTATTACATGCTCATTACATGCTTTTTATGTTTATTACATGCTTATTACATATAAATGCTAAAGCAATTTAAAATTACAAACAGTTCAACTTTTGCGCATTGTCTACCTGTTTACATATAGATTCTATGAAGCATTGTTACATGCCTATTACACATTTATAACATGCTTGTTACACGTTTATTACATGTATGTTACATACATGTATGTTACAACGTCCAGTCTTTTCTTTTGAGCATGTGAACACAATGGCAAATCAGCTGTGTTTGAGAAGGTGCTCAACAGTGGTCAAATGTTAGCGGGAAATAGACATTTAAAAAATTTCAGTATCGATTGATATCAAATTCCAGTATCGTGACTACTTTCTAGCATAATGCAGTAGTCCTTTCAGCTTGAAGACTCTACATTTTTGCCCTTTTTTGTCTTTCCTACTGTAAGTATTATAGTTCTATATTACTTATCTGAATGATTTGAGTTATTTTACAGCCTGCAAAGTTTGTGGACTAAAACCTGACAAACGTCTTGCAATACAACATGAACATTGGCTTTAGGTGTAGGAACCATAGCATAATTGGAATAACTTACTCTCATTACATTACAAAATAATGCACAACCCCGTTAAAAAAATGCACACTCAATTTCACATCCTGGCTGTGTATTATTTTTCAGCCCATCATCAATTATTCTTTACATAACCCAGCGCTAATGTTAAAAGCCAAGTCTACTTTGAGCTTTAGAATGCAGGCTGCTGTAAAACATCTGTGCATGATCCTTTGCTCAAGATGTTATCATTTACATATACCTATACCTGTTTTAGAAGGGATGCTTTAAAGGCACAGTTCATCTAAAAATGAAAATTTACACACCCTCAAGTGGTTCCAAACCTGATTTTTTTCCGTCTGTTTAACACCTAAGAAGATAATTTGAAGAATGCTGAAATCTTGCAACCATTGACATCCGTAGTATGAAAAAAAACATACTATGGAGTCAATGGCTACCGATTTCCAAAATCCTTCAAATTATCTTCTTTAGTGTTCAGCAAAAGAAAGAAACTCAAACAGGTTTGGAACAGATGGCATTTTTGTTTGAACTGTCTCCGTTATAATATTAAATATCCCTATATTAATATTTGCATGCTCATAATGTTGAAATGCCCCTATGAATGACTAACTGCATTTGCTCCATTCTCTCCACTCCTCCTAAACTTCAGACTATCCTCCTGTCCAGCAGTTCACACCCTCTGCCGGTACACCTGGCATCTATCAGCCTCTGCCGTACGCTTCCTCTGCCGGCGCTCCTCTTCCTCCTCCTCCTCCTTCTTCATCCTCCTCTGCTGCTGTTTATCCTCCTCAGTTCATGCTCTCAGCCTCCTCTCAGGCTTCTGCGCCTCCTCAGTCCTTCTGTCCTCCTCCAGCCGTGTCTTCTGGAGGGTGTTTCCAGCATGGTGGGCCCGGGTCGCCCACGTCTTACCTTCCTCCTCCAGGAGCCCGAGCTCCAGGTACTCAGCATGAACCCGCACTGATTCCAGCCTCCCAGAGAACAGGTCTGCACTTAGCTCCAGAGAGATCATATTATGAGTGTTTCATATCACATACATACACACATACACACATTATATATATATATTCAATTCCAAAACGATTAATTTTTGCAATGATGCATCTTTTAAACTTTGCAGAATTGGAGTTTCTAGGCTTTTGTTTATGATTGGAATGTATTTGTGATAGTACTGCCAACCTAAAAATGTGCCTGTTGTTACACTTTATTATACATTACATGTTTATTACATATGGTACTAAGCTGGTTTATTACAAAATGTTCCATTTTGTATTTTATTACATAAATACTAGTTTTCTTTTATTACAATATGTTCAACTATGTTATCTCTACCTTGTTTATTTAAAAATAAAATTTACCAAGAAACATTGTTACAGGCCTATTACACATTTATTACGTTTATTACATATTACCTATAGTACTAAACTAGTTTATGTACAGACAAATTTTTCAAAGAAAATTTACTACATGCCTATTACATGTTTATTAAATGCTTATTACACATTACAAAGTGTTCCATTACGTATTTTATTAAATAAATATTAGTTTTCTTTTATTGTAATGTTCAACTGTTATCTCTACCTTGTTTATTTAAAAATGAATTTTATCAGGAACCATTACATTCCTATTACGCATTGATTACATGTTTATTACAAGCTTATTATGCATCGTCTTCCTTGCATAAATTGGAAATTATGCATCGTCTACCTTGTTTATTTTTTTAGTTTATTTTCAGATGAATTTCACGAAGAAACAACTACATGCCTATAACACGTTTATTACACACTTGTTATAAGCTTATTACATATAGTTTTTAACTAGTTATTACAAAATGTTCCATTCCATAAATACAAAGTAAATACTAGTTTTCTTTTATTACAAAACTTTCAACTGTTGAACTGCATCGTCTACTTAATTTACACATTATTACAAGCCTATTACATATTTTAATACATGGTTATTACACATTTATTACATAGTTATTACACATTTATTACATGCTTGTTTGACATGTAGTATATGCTTATAACATATCATACCAAACTTGTTTTTATCACATTCAACTACTTTACGCATCATTTACCTTGTTTATTTTCAGATAAATTTCTCAGATACATTACTGCATGCCTAATACATGTTTATTACATGCTTATTAAATATAGTACTAAACTATTTTTAACAAAATGTTCAACTACTTTATGCATCGTCTAGCTTGTTTAATTTCAGACTAATTTCACGAAAAAACTTTACTACATGCCTATTACACGTTTACTGCACACTTATTACAAGCTTATTACAAGCTTATTACATATAGTTTTAAACTAGTTGTTTCAAAACGTTCCATTCTGTAAATACTAAGTAAATGCTAGTTTTCTTTTATTACAAAACATTCAACTGTTATGCATTGTCTACTTTTTTACACATTATAAGCCTATCACACATTTAATACATGTTTATTACACAGTAATGACATGGTTATTACTCATTACATGATTGTTACATGTGTAATACATGCTTATTACATATACTAAACTTGTTCTTGTTTATCATCTTGTTTATTTACAGACTAATTTCATAAAAAATAAACAATACATGCTTAGTACACATTTATTACACGCTTATTACACATTTACTACACACTTATTACATATAGTACTAAACTAGTATTTATTATAAAAAATTTAACTTGCACATTATCTACCCTGTTTAAAGATGGTTTTACCGAGAAACATTATTACATGTGTATTACACATTACACAATGGAATATTTAAGTGTGATAGTACTGTCATCTTAAAAATGTGCCTGTTGCACATTACGTTTCTTACATGATCAACTATTATGTATTATTACATGCTTATTACATGCTTATTACATCATCACAGGCCTATTACATGTTTATTACTTACTTGTTACATGTTTATTACATGCTTATTATATGAAGTACTAAACTAAGTTTATCACAAAATGTTCCTTTCCATATTTTATAACAAATACTAGTTTTTTTATTACAAAATGTTCAACTTTTATGAATCGTCTACCTTGTTTATTAACAGATGGATTTTTACCAAGAAACATTTCATGCCTATTACATGCTTATTACACGTTTTTTACATACTTTTTAACTATTTTTCTTACAAAATGTTCCATTTACGCTACGCATAGTCTAACTTGAGATGTATTTTACCAATACACATCTCATGTCAATTAAATGTTACAATTACACATGTAGTACATACTTTTAACATATCTATTACACACATGTCTATTACACACTTATTACATATACTAAACTACTTTTCTTTTGATTATAAAAAAGTTTCAACTGTTACACACTGTCTACCTTGAGGTTAATTTTACCAATAAATATGACATGCCTATTACATGTTTATCACATACTTATTGCATGTTTATTAGATGCTTAATGCATGTTTTCTTACTTGGTTATTGCATTTAAATACTAAACTACTTTTTTATAATTACAAAAAAATTTAACTGGGTTACGTGTCGTCTACTTTTATTTTCAGATTAGTTTTAACAAGAAACAGTATTACATGCCTAGTACACATTTATTACATGCTTATTACACATTTATTACATGATTATTACATATAAATACTGCAGTATGTTCAATTATATTGTGCTAACTTGTTTACAGATAGATTTTACCAAGTAACAGTATTACATGCCTATTACACATTTAATACAAGCTTATTACACATACATACAATTTTTTTTTATTACAAAAATGTCCAACTACATGTTATGCAATGGCTGCCTTCTTTATTTTCAGATGGATTTTACCAAGAAACAGCCTGGGGTTTAGAAGGTGAATTTATAAAGAGCATAATAACAGAAGTACTTCATTTTACAGTCTAGTTCCACATGCACCTCCGGTGTACTAGCTGGCTATATCCCCTGCAGGTACCTTTTGTACCCAGTAGTACACTGTAAGTGCATGTACTGTAAGATAAAGTGCAAATGTTATAACAATCTTACATGCTGGACCATAATTGTCCAGTTCAGATTATTAAAAAAAAAATCTAAATCAATAAAGTACAGATCCAGAGAATTTTAAAAGTTGATTATTTAGATTTTCCTAAATTAACTTAAAGTTATTAATCTAATTAGGATGTAATTACATACTAAATAAACATGCCTATAAGTAATTTAACAGTGGCTGATTAAATAGGTGATTAAATATTAATTTGCATGGTCAGTCGCAACTGTTTCTTTAAATGTTAAAATGGTTTATTTTGTTTGTTTCTCAAGACATCATTTGTATACAATGGTGGATGCAGATTTAGTGATTATCAATCGACTTATAATCAGTATGATTTTCTAAACAATAACAGCCATTTTGGTAGTTAAATTGATGTCCGCTCTGAGGTGCAGGTTGTTCCATTGCATCTAAAATGAAACGCTTTGTTTTGTTTGTCTGCAGGACCTCAGAATGGCTGGAACGACCCGCCAGCCCTCAGCAGAGCAGCCAAAAAGAAGAAGGTGAGTTTAAAAACCTAAAGGGGGAAAAATGCAGGAAACCAGAGCACCTGGAGGAAACCCACTCAAACACGGGGAGAACATGCAAACTCCACACAGAAATGCCAACTGACCCAGCTGAGACTCGAACTAGCATCTTTCTTTCTGTGAGGCGAACGTGTTACCTACTGCGCCACCGTGCAGCCTCCAAAATGGGTATTTAATCATTATTAAATAAAACAAAAGGAAAACAAAAACAACCGAGAGGTGGAAAACATGAACAAAACAAATAACAAACTGGTCTGGCAGGGAAAAGCGGGGCTGGACAGGACAAGATGATATATGATGATGAACTACTAAAGCACAGTAGACAAGAGGAGACAATAAAGAGTAAGAATTAACAACCAAACAGGTGAACTGAATAAACTAATGGTTAACAAGAAGGGTGGGACTAGACAATAGGCAGGAGAGCACAAGAAATAACACAAGCCTTGTGTTCACGTAAAACGGGACTAGAACACACAGACAATGAGAGAACGAATGAGAGACAGTGTGATGCCGACAGAACAAACACTAGGAAGAGAGCGGCCTGAGCACAGCAGAGACTCGATCAGAATGAGTACTTGACCTGAGAATACTCAAGTCGAGCACAACATACAAGACAAGACAGGACTAGTGTCTAGACTCTGCCACCATAGCAAGATTTAACAAAACCGAGGTGGCAGAATCCTGAATTACACTGCCTTGATTTCAAGAAAACCTTCTCTGTTTTTGCTCTCCAGATTCCACAACACTTCACTCCTCCCGCACCCATTACAGCGCCCATCATGGCCCCTCTGGGGGACCCTCAGGCCCCTGCTGGCATGCAGACCCTTCAGCCCCAACAACAGGTGCCAGATCAATCCGCGGGTCCTGCCACCTTTACCCCCATCCAGCAGCAGCCGCTGGGACCCAGGAATCCCAGCATGCCTCAGGGGAACATGGAAGGTGCGCCCGGAGCTCCAATTGGCGATGTCATAAAGGTACTGACTCGTGTATAGGCCCACACGGAATCTGTGCGCGCAGAATTCCGCAGATTTTCCACAGATTTCTAGCTCATTATTAATTCTGTTTAATTACTTGAGTAAATGTGTAAATCTGAATTTATTCAGTTTTTATTCAGTAATTTATTACTTTTTATTTAATATATTAAGGTTTTAGTTATGATACTCCACTGGATACTCCCAAAATAATTCTTAGATTTTTACCAAAATTCTCCGCAGAAAAAGCAAAAAATGTCCGCAGATTCCGTCTGGCCCTGCTCATTGTGAAATAAAAACACTGCTGTACTAATGTTCGGGATCAATGAGATTAAGATATGTTTATGAAATGTTATTTAATCAGAGGTTTTATTATGATTTAAAATAACAAGTGTAGTTTTAGTTTAGTGTAGTTTAGTAGAGTGTAGTTTTCATTTAATGTTACATTTTGAGCCTCTTTAGTCCAGTCTTCAGCATCATCACATGATCCTTCAGACATCATGTCAGGAATCTACTGCTCAAAAACAATATTATCATTGTTATCAACTTTAGGGCTTTTTTGTTTTTTTGGAAACTGATACAGTACTATAGGTGGGCATAGATTATTTTAATTTTAATCTACAGGGTGGGCCATTAATATGGGTACACCTTAATAAAATGGGAATGGTTGGTGATATTAACATCCTGTTTGTGGCATATTAGTATATGTGAGCGGGCAAACTTTTCAAGATGGGTGGTGACCAAGGTGGCCATTTTGAAGTCGGCCATCTTGGATCCAACTTTAGTTTTTTCGATAGGAAAAGGGTCATGTGACACATCAAACCTATTGGGAATCTCACAAGAAAAACAATGGTGTGCTTGGTTTTAACGTTACCTTATTCTTTCATGAGTTATTTACAAGTTTCTGACCACTTATTAAATGTGCTGCCCATTGTGTTGGATATTATATTGTGTCCCCGTTTCAGCCACTTCAGGCCATACCCACTGAGAAGATCACCAAGAAGCCCATCCCAGAGGAGCACATGGTCCTGAAGACCACTTTTGAGGGACTCATTCAGAAATGCTTAACCGCTGCTTCAGATCCGGTGGGTTTCCAATCTAGCCTACCCAATTCGAATACTGATGTACATTTGATTTTTCAGCTTTTTTATTTGTAATAAATTTGCACCAATTCCAAAAATCGTATTTCACATTGTCATTATGGGGTATTGTGTGTAGAATTTTGAGCAAATAAATGAATTTAATCCATTTTGGAATAAGGCGGTAACATAACAAAAATGTGTAAAAAGTGAAGCGCTATCAATACTTTCCGGATGCACTGTATTTAATGTACCATGTTTGAATGAATGTACCAGTTTCTTTCCAAAAAGAAAAAACACACACAAAATATTTGAGTTCTTGATATATTGGTTTTCATGTATTAGAATTTTCTTATTCCACTGCGACATGATGTCTGTAGATTATGTTGACAAGTGTGGACACCAACATCCCATTACACTTCAACAGCATGTAATGATAGCTCAAGGATTAGTTTTACTGAATAGAAAAAAAAGTATATATTTATTTCAACCTCTTTCGAAAAAAAAAAGGCCAAATGACGAGCCATACAGGTTTTCAACTATAATAATAAGTTAATAACGCATTACAAATAACCAACGTTTCCCCCTTTCATCCTAACAGCAAACCAAAAGAAAGCTGGACGATGCTCATAAGAGGCTTGAGCTTCTCTACGACAAGCTGAGAGAACAAACAGTGAGTATTTTACTCTTAACAAACACACAGACTGAGTCTACATTAATCACAACACCTTTGAAAAGGCTTTATTTCCATTACATGTTTTAATGTTTCATTGTTTATAAGTCAGGCTTTGTCTGAAATCGCATGCTTCCATATTATCTAGTTATCATATTGTTGGTTTCTGCACAGGTGGTAGATGCAGGAATTGAACAGCGGCAGTAGCAACGTCAGTAGTAGTAAAATAACCCCCCTCATAAGTATTACATCATCAAAAAATCTACTCATTTAGGCCGGAGTCACAAACTGCAACCTTTGGTTGTTTATATATTGTAAATGCATAAAGCGAACAAAGCAAAGATCTAAAACCACGGAAGGACTAGGCAAGGAAAATGTTCATAAATGTTATGGGGGAAAAAGACTCAGCACAGTGTGTGTGAATGTGAGGTGTATTTATAGTCCTGGTAATAAATCTTTGATGAACTACCAGCTGTGCATGTGTATTTGGGGAAAGAACTGGAACTGGTGTGTGTGTGTGTGAGGTGCATGATGGGATTTGTAGTTCTCCAGCAATCTGCAACTGCTAGATCACTGCTGACCGTGACAGTAGTTAAGTTACACTTACTGCGATAGAGTGCTTCCAAAAGAACTCTGATACATGGTCCATCTCTCTTGTTAGGATTCAGGTGGTACTATATGTATGTATGTTTTTTACAATGAAAATAAAAGCGTATAAAAAAATTATAATAAAAATGAGATGGCTGGAAACAACGATTATACATCATTTGGCATTTTGCACTTTGCTTTTCCCCACAAACACTATATATTTGTTTTTCTGTGCAGTTGTCTCCAGCTATCATCGGCGGTCTTCACAACATGGCCCACAGCATCGAGTGTCGCTCGTACGCCGACGGACTGAACATACACACACACATCGTCAGCAACAGCAACTTCAGCGAGACGTCCGCCTTCATGCCGGTGCTGAAGGTCGTGCTAACACAGGCCAACAAACTTGGCGTTTGATAGCAGCGTCCTGAATGCCGCGCACGCTAACCAACAAGTATTGTCAAAATCCCTCAAGCCATCATTCCGCAAGGACCACTTGTGCATATATATGTTATTTTGCCAGTCTGACCAGCAGATTTGGTTTACAGAAATGACTCGCGGTCGTTTCGTTTAATTGTTGTCACATGTATTTTAATGTTGTCATTACATATTTGTAATCATGACAGAGCAGAGTGCAATAGGGCTGTTATGTGTCCCTCATATGTCTCGAGTTTATGCGGAAAACGAGCTCGATGAAATGAAATTTGTGTTTTATGCTTTAAATGGCCAGCTGACTTTGTTTTTTGTTGTCGATTTTTAAGATGTTTGATTATCACAGCTCCTTTGCATTTCAATTTATTTTCAGGAAACGCAAGTTGATTTACATCAAGGCATTATTTCTGCTGATAAATCTGCCAACGTGGTCAAATATTTACGTTTAATCAGGATATCTTCCGTCCATTCCATATCCGTTTTCAAACAAAAAAAAAGGAAAACTAAGAAAATGGCCGTTTTTTTGTTTTTGTTTTTTTGCTCACAAAAAACCCAAAAGACGAGATTTTTCCTCGATTTTTGTTTTTTTGGTTTAGGGTGGGAAAACAGATAAACAACTTTAAAATTCATCATTTACATGTAGGCGGGGCTGAAATGCATTGTTCCTCTGATTGGCCAATCAAATCTGAGCTTGTGACGTCGCTCTCAAAATAAAAGTCCTCTGCAGATCAGCACTCAGGCTTTTAATTATATATATATATATATAAGTTTAAATATTCTATCATTTGATCAGTTAGCAGGCTTACGTTTACATGTGCATAAATTTGATAAAAACGTTAATTAGCAGTATTATTACACATTTGTCATTAAAAGAAGGTCATAGTTCGCTGCCAGGCTTCTTGCTGCTATGCACCTGACGCTGAGCAAAAATTTGCATGATTGCAAATGCATGATTGTTTCCGAGCAATAATAATTATAATAATAATAATATAAAGTGACTAAGCTGAAAAGAAAATGAATGAATAAATCATAATAATATGCCTATAGTTTGCGGCCAAACTTCTTGCTGCTGTGCACCTGACGCTGAGTAAAGATTTCCGAGCAGATCCTGGTATGCATGATTGTTTTCGAGCAAGGCCTTTATAATGAAAATAATAATAACAATATAAAGGGACTAAGCTAAAAAAAAATGTAACTAATGAATAAATAATAATAATATGTCTATAGTTTGCTGCCAACTTCTTGCTGCTGTGTACATGATGCTGAGCAAAGATAGCCATTTCCAAGCAGCACCTGGTTTGCATAATTGTTTCAGAGCTACTGTAGGCCTAAATAATAATAATAATAATTAATATTTTTTACCTATTTTTCTATTGTTTAGTTTTTTAATTGTTAGCAGGACTAGATTAAGAACGCAATGGGTCTTGGGGCTATAACAAAGGGTACCATTGGTTTTAAATTTATTTCCTCCTATTTTATTTATACATGTATATGTAGGACTTTTATTTTGAGGCCGACATCACCAGCTCACATTTGATTGGCCAATCAGAAGAAAAGGGCATTTCAGCACCGCCTACATGTGTATAATGAATTTTAAAAGTCGTTTATCTGTTTTCCCACCCTAAACCAAAAAAAATTTAAAAATCGAGCCAAAATCAATTTTTACCCGTTTTTTGTGAGCAAAAGAAAAACCAAAAAAATGTCCGTTTTCTAAATTTTCCGTTTTTGTTTAAAAACAGATATGGAATGGACAAAGATATTCTGATTTCGTTTGTTTTATTTGAGATCTGAAGCGATTTATGTCATGATCGTGCTGCCTGTCTTTATCGTACGCCAGATCAGCTCAGACGTGTTGAGAAGTAAAAAAGGTCAGGCTACAGTAAAGGGAATATGTTATTTTTATAATCACGTTTTCTTTTTTAAATCTCAGTCTCATCCATTGGTCATTCTATCAGTCTCTGAGGAAATTTACATATGGCTGCGCAAATGTTTGGACGTTTGCTCTAAAACTGTGGGGGTTTTAATGCAGTGGATGTACTGTCTCAATAATTGAGGTTGTACTGTAAATCTGACGACTGTTTTGCAGTTTTATTAAAAACTAATCGAGACAGCTGGACTTTACAGATGTTTCTATTATATGTTCACACACTTCTACACTAGTTTGGATGTTTGGTTTTAAAAAAGAATATTCTTCTCAGCAAGGCTGCATTTATTTGATCAAAAACACAGTAAAACTATTAAATATTATCACAATATTAAATTCTTGTTGAATGTAGTTTAGGCATGGGACGGAGTAAGATTCTGACGGTATGATAACCTTGGATAAAAATGTCTCAGTTTGACAGTATTATGATTACTGCTCTAAAATGTGTTCTTTTTAAATGTCTGGGTAAAAATTTTTAACTTTACTCCTGTGAACACTATAGTTTATTTAAGAAATATTTGTAATATTTTTGGAGCAGTAAACATGTCAGGCTAAATCATTAAAATTAATCTTTGACTTCTGCTGTCTTCATTAGTTTCAAAAACACTGATTTAAATAAATTAATTTAAAGCGGCATCTTTGGAGATCCTTTCTGCTGGAGATACTGTTGTCGTAAAAAAGACGTAAATAAAAAAATCTTACTCATACCTTAGGAACGGTACAGCAGAAAATGTTGGTGGTTTTTAAACTTTGACTTTTCAAAACCGCGATATACCTTAAAAACGGTTATTATCCCATGCCTAATGTAGTTTCAAATGTATTTTATTCCTGTAATTTAAAGCTTAAATGTCATCCTTGAGAAATCATTTTAATAGGAGGATTTGCTGTTATATGATGATGTTATTGTTGGAACAAAACCACTAATAATCATTCTTCTGATTATCAGAAATTTTTAACTTGCTTTATAATTTCATTGAAACTGTGATACCTTTAATTTTAGCATTTTTGATGATAAATTTTATTTGCAGCCTTTTTTTATACATTATAAATGTTTGCATGTATGCAGCTGAAGGAGTGGAGCTCAATAATATTTACGACCCTTCCAAATATGGTCAATAAGGATCTTTTGTTTCTAATTCTATTTACAAATGAGCATGTAAAAATGTTTCTGGAGAAGTTGTTCACTTATTTAAGCCACATACCTTACTTACTAACTCCCAGGGCCATTTATTGTTTTTTAACATCTATATATATAACACTCAACCACCAATCTGGAGGACCAGGACATACATTACACACATACACTACGGACAATTTAGCTTACCCAGTTCACCTACAACACGTCTTGGAATGTGTGTCACGGTTGCAGGTTTGTGCGCTTTTCCGGAGTGTCTGTTTGATCATGTTGGTTTGTTTTTGTTCTCCTCGTGTATTTGTTTTGATCACGTGTGATGACGGCACTCAGCTGGCTTGATGAGCCCGCCAGCTGAGGCTCATATTCGGGCCTATATATGGGTCACGTTTTCTGTGTGTTTTGGTCAGTTCGTTTTGTCACGAATAAAAGAATGTGCAGGGGGATCCAAGTGCGAGTTTAACAAAATAATATTTATTGACAAAGTCAAAACAAAAATCAAGTAGTGAATGTGGTGCTAGTGCTAGGAGATATCGGGCAGGAATCAGACGGGAAACAGGGTCCAGAAATTAGTCCTCAGATCCTAAGCACACATAGAAAACGTGACCCATATATAGGCCCGAATATGAGCCTCAGCTGGCGGGCTCATCAAGCCAGCTGAGTGCCGTCATCACATGTGATCAAAACAAATACACGAGCAGAACAAAAACAAACCAACATGATCAAACAGACACTCTGGAAAAGCGCACAAACCTGCAACCGTGACAATGTGGGGGAAACTGGAGCACCCGGAGGAAACCCATGCGAACGCAGAGAGAACATGCAAACTCCAAAGTAATGCCAACGGACCCAGCCAGGGCTCCAACCAGTGACCTTTTTGCAGTGAAGCGACAGTGCTACTCACTGCGCCACCGTGCTGCCCAAGAGGATCAGTATTTACATGAAAATAAAAGACAATATTACTGTTAAGTGGAAGATGCATTTAATGTAAATCTAAACAATTAAAGATTATAGGAACTGTATAAAAAAAACACAAACTCAAGTCAGCTTATTTTTATGAACTTATAACACTGATTTCACCTGCACATGGAACCGGCATAGATTCAGATTTCTGGCTTACAAAATGCTGTAAAATCGGCTGTTTTGACCTGGATACTGATGAAAATGATGATTCAGGCGTATCTGTTGATAAAAAAAGAGAGAGAGATCACACTCAAAAATACATCTTAAATACAGACCCAAATGCTACCAATTAATGAATTCTGAAAAAAAAACATGTGCCTTGTTAAATTTTGCTTATTTGGTATGACTAAGACTGGCTTTTCTTTTTTTTTTCCAGTTATATTTCTATGGTGCTTACCGGAAAAAAGGATTTTTTAAATCCAGAGAGTTCCCTGATTTAAATCCGGACTGATCGACAACAGCAGAGATGTGAATGTCATAGCTTTGCCTATCAAAGAAGAGATTTAGGGTTAGGGCTGGGTTTAGCCTTAGGGTTAGTGTAAGTTGACATGTACTTGCAAAGTTTCTTATAGTCAGTTAAATGTCTGTTGAATGTCAGCATCAGGTCTTTGCTTTAGAACTTATAGATACTTATCTAAAGTTAAAGTCAGAATTATTAGCCCACCTTTGATTTTATTTTTTTTCCCTTTTTTAAATATTTCCCAAATGATGTTTAACAGAGCAAGGAAATTTTCACAGTATTTTTTCACAGTAATTTTCTTCTGGAGAAAGTCTTATTTGCTTTATTTCGGCTAGAATAAAAGCATTTTTTATTTTTGTAATAACCATTTTAAGGTAAAAATTATTAGCCGCTTTAAGCTAATATTTCAATCGATAGTCTACAGAACAAACTATTGTTATACAATGACTTGCCTAATTACCCTAACCTGCCTAGTTAACCTAATTAACGTAGTTAAGCTTTTAAATGTCACTTTAAGTTGTATAGAAATGTCTTTAAAAAATATCTAGTAAAATATTATTTACTGTCATCATGGCAAAGATAAAATAAATCAGTTATTAGAAATGAGTTATTAAAACTATTATGTTTAGAAATGTGTTGAGAATATCTTCTCTCCGTTAAACAGAAATTGGGGAAAAATAAACATGGGGACTAATAATTCAGGGGGGCTAATAATTCTTACTTCAACTGTATATACATTATCCTGCTATATATACAGTATACAGTAGTTTGTCCTGCTATTGTGTTCCAGACCCTGAAATCTTAATATGCACCTTTCATCCCATTTGAATGCATTGCTGAAGTTAGTCATCATACCTCTTGTTGGCTATAAGGTGAACGTGTCCTGATAAAGTCTGTCCCATTTTGGCGAACAGGGGGGTCTGAAGCAGACAGCGCACCTGATACCAGTGAGTTAAAGGTTCAGTAGGGGACGTGGACAGCCATATGGTCATCCTGTACAAAAGGACATAACAAAAGAATAAACATTAACACATTAAGCCCTAATCTCTTCAGATGATTTTCCTTTCATATTTGTGTCGTTCTCACTTTGAACCGACGAAGGCCACGTCAAACCAAAAAGCAAGTCCGTGGATCAGTCCTGACTGCAGCAGCTTAAAGACAAATGGAATTTCCAACCTGTAAATTACAAAATATTGTGAATTTATTTTTTCAAATGCATCAAACAAGGTTTTTTACATAAGCTAAACATCCCAGGTATTTGTCAGGATCATTTTAATAAAATATTTTGTATAATAAAATAATGATAATTTTCAATATTCAACAGTACTAATTCATATATTTATTTCGTATTATTATTTTTTATTATAAATAATAATAATTATTATTATAAATAATAAATGTCATTTTATATTGTTTTTATAATTGTAATAATATTCTAATTGTAATGAGTTGGGTTGACAACAGAGATGAGGATCAACATGCAGTTTATTTAACAATCGTCAGACAGGCAAAGGTCACAACAGGTGCAAACGGGAGCATAAAAGGTAATCCAAAAGCGCATTCAGAACACAGGCAAAAGGTGGGGACAGGCTGCAAAACAACACAAACAGAAAAACAAACAAGGGTCCAAAACCACAGAAGGAAAGACAAGGAAGACGCTTCAAAATGCTCACTTACAGGATACAAGACTCAGCAAAGTGTGTGTGAGGTGTCTTTATAATCTTGGTAATAAGTCCATCATGAGCTTCCAGTTGTGTGTGTAATCAAACCCAACTCATTACAATTAGAATATTATTACAATTATTAAAACAATATAAAATTACATTTATTATTTATTATAATAATTATTTATAATAAAAAATAATTAAATATAATAATTAATAATTATAAATAAAAATATTAATTATTGCTGTTAAATATAAAAAATTATCATTATTTTATTATACAAATTATTTGATAAATTTATCCTGACAAATACCTGGGATGTTTAGCTTATGTTAACCCTATAAAAGACACCATAACCACCTGGTTGATCTTTTATTCATAGGTTATTACTATTATTTTATCAGAGTTGTTTCAGTATATTAGCCGGCAGCTAGCTCTCTGCAACTCTCACATGGTCGCCCACTGAACCTAAGCAGGGCTGCGCCCGGTCAGTACCTGGATGGGAGACTACATGGGAAAGCTAGGTTGCTGCCGGAAGTGGTGTTAGTGAGGCCTGCAGGGGGCGCCCAACCTGTGGTCTTTGTGGGTCCTAATGCCCCAGTATAGTGACGGGGACTCCATACTGCTCAGTGAGCGCCGTCTTTCGGATGAGACGTTAAACCGAGGTCCAGACTCTCTGTGGTCGTTAAAAATCCCAGGATGTCCTTCGAAAAAGAGTAGGGGTTTAACCCCGGCATCCTGGCCAAATCTACCCACTGGCCTCTGTCCATCATGGCCTCCTAACCATCCCCATATCATGATAGGCATATCATCACTCTGTCTCCTTTCCACCAATCAGCTGGTGTGTGGTGTGCGGTCTGGCGCAAAATGGCTGCTGTCGCGTCATCCAGGTGGATGCTGCACACTGGTGGTGGATGAGGAGACCCCCCCATTGTGTAAAGCGCTTTGAGTGCCTAGAAAAGCTCT